CTTGACATCCTGACCCCTCGCACCTACGCTAAGGCCACATCGGGACCCTGGGCCTCTCAGTGGATAGCTGCCATGGAGCAGGAGATGGCATCTTGGAAATCCACTGGTACCTTCGTCGACGCAGTTCCCCCACCTGGGTTGAACGTAGTCGATGGCCGGTGGCTCTTCAAGGTGAAGCGCCCTCCTGGAGAGCCGCATGTCTTTAAGGCGCGCTACGTTGCTCGCGGCTTCTATTAGCGTGAGGGGGTGGACTTCTTCCAGACCTTCGCCTTGACCGCGAAGATGACTACTCCTCGGGCACTGCTATATGTAGCAGCACAGCGTGACTACGAGCTCTACTCCCTCGACTTCTCTACAGCTTTTCTCCAGGGCAGTCTACACGAGCAGGTCTACCTCCGCCGCCCCTAGGGCTTCTCCGGGACCTTTCCTCCTAGTACCGAGTGGCTCTTCCGGCGCCCCGTCTACGACTTGCAACAGGCACCCCGTGAGTGGCACGACACGTTGCGTGCTACAATTGCTGACCTGCAGTTCTTCCCGTTGTCTGCAGACCCCTCACTCTTCGTCCGTTCTGGACAGACTCTGTTCTACATCCTTGTCTACGTAGACGACCTGGTCTTTGCTACTGCAGATAGAGATGCGCTGGCCTCCGAGAAGGCCGAGCTATTGAGGAGACACACCTGCACTGACCTAGGAGAGCTACGCCGCTACCTTGGCTTGCAGATCCAGGGACAGAGCAGCGCGCACCATCACTCTCTCACAGTTACACTTGGTGCGTCAGGTCCTTCAGAGGTTCGGCCTTCAGTTCTCCTCTGCACAGTCCACCCCTCTACCAATAGACCACAGACTTTCTATTCCAGTCCCGGAGGAGGCTGTAGAGCCTAGTGGTCCCTTCGCAGAGCTGGTGGGTTGCCTCATGTACCTGATGACTTGCACTCATCCAGATCTCGCATACCCTCTCAGCATCCTGGCTCGCTTTGTGGCCACAGGCAGACACCGACCACAGCACTGGTCGGCAGCTAAGAAGGTTTTGCGTTATCTAGCAAGTACATTGGGCATGGGGCTAGTGCTAGGAGGACGGAGACCAGTGGTCCTTACTGGGCACATAGACGCTTCTTCGGCAAACGATGCCGAGACTCTCAGGTCCTCACAGGGCTACTCCTTTAGCCTTGGTGCAGGTGCCATCTGATGGAGGTCCACGTGCTCCTCGTCTGTTGCCCAGTCTAGCTGTGAGGCTGAGATCTACGCTTGTGCCATGGCGGCACAGGAGCTCCGCTGGCTGACCTTCTTGCTCACCGACTTGGGTGAGCGGCCTAGCTCTGCCCCGGTTCTGTACGCTGACAACAGGGCCGTGATCCTCCAGTGTCAGGAGCCACGACTTGAGGGCAGAGCGAAGCACATCCAGCTGCGGTACTTCTTTCTGCGCGAGCTACAGCAGCGTCGCTAGGCTCGTGTAGTACACTTGGCCTCCGGTGCCAACACAGCTGGTATCTTTACTAAGGTGCTTGCGCTTAAAGATCATCAGCGGCACTGTGTACAGCTAGGTCTTGTTCCTGTAGCCTCTCACTTGCTAGGACCTTGATTGTGTATGGACTTTTATATATATTACCCAGACTGGCCTTGTGGCCTCTTCCTAGTGGCTGGACTAGTAGTGCCACCCTGGTCTTGCTCTTGCATTGTCTATATTTGTTTGACTGGTCTTTAGACCCCTGCCTCAGAGGCTGGACTAGTAGTGCCACCCTGAGTTGTCTCTCTCGCGTCAGGCACTGCCCCTATCTAGTCTAGGGGGTGTGTCAAACATACAAACATATATTGTATGTTATAGTAGACTATATAGGGTTGTGCCTTATGGAGTACAACCCATTAGGCTATATACCCATCTATGTCCTGTTCTAGTCAACTTTTCTCACTTAAGTGCACATGTATCTATATTAGTAATATATATAAATTGTAGCCTAGCTAGAGGTAGTTTATATAGGGTATAATACTTCAACACAAAACTCTGTTGTTGCTTTCTTCCTAGTCAACATTTCTCTTTGTAACAGTATCTGGCGAGGCGACGTTGCAGCCTTTTGTTTGGCTGGTTGGTTCGGGTTGGAGGTTGGAGGTTTGGAGGGAGGAGGAAGTGGGAGGGAATCCACGGGATTGGCGGAAAGGCACAAATCCTTGTCCAGCTACTCATCTTGATGGAATCCAACCCAGTGAAGTTGGAACATTTGCATGCCAGCGGATTGGCGGTTTCCTTCGAGTGCGCACTTGAAGTTGACGGTGTTGTGGTAAATGAAGTTTCGCATTCCTGCAAGTTTTGTTTTCAGTGTAGTTAGCAGTATCGAGTTTCTCAGTAAGTAACCATGCCCGAGTGCTGATTTCAGCAAAGCATCGCGGGTCTCGGCATCACGTCAGCATACCGCTTCAGTTACGCGATTAGGCGTAACGAACCGTTTCAGTCACGCGAACAGTCGCGACCCTATAGTATGACGAATAGGTCGCATAGCGCGATAGTGACGAACAGATACACTAGCGAACAGGTACTTTTCCTAGAGCTATAAATCCTTGTAATGCCTTTCTATTATTAACCTTGACTTTCCACCGAATTATGTGCTCATGTTATTCAACCTTCGACTACCCACAAGTTCATGTGCTCAGGTTCACTCTGATAAGACTCCCGCTGTCTTACTAGTCTAGCATTCCAACAAAGATTCTTGGTTAAGTACTCGTGTTTGTAGATTCTATACTTAGTCTCCTACAACACCATACGATTTATTTCATGGTATGAGAGCTATCTGGAATTAAGACTACCGTCAACTATGACTGGTTCATCACCAGCACCATCTGCTGGATCAGTTACTGGGACTACTGGAGCACATGCCTCCACTACCGCCGCTGGTCTCTCAGCCTTTGGGCACTTTCTACCAGCCTATGCTAATATCGGTATGCAGAATCCGCCTTCTGTGAATACTCCAGGTGCTCCGTCGACTGCACCTGCAACGCAACAACAACAATCACAGACAACAGCACAGCAACAAGCGTCAGTACAGCCACTAGTTTCAACGCAATCTATTTCATCTGCGTTCAGTGGAATGAGCCTTGACGGCTCAAGTTACATGCGTGGAGCTACAGCTCCAAGTACTGGTTCGTTCGCTTTCTCACCTTTCGTACTGCAGCCGCAGTCGCAGCAGTTTCAGCATCCTTTTTATGTCTTCGGTCGTTCCCTTGCTCAGCAACAACAACAGCAGTATCAGCAACCACAGCAAGTACAGCAACAGCAACAGCAACAACAACAGCAACAACAACAGCAGTATCAGCAACCACAGCAAGTACAGCAACAGCAACAGCAACAGCAACAACAACAGCAATATCAGCAACCACAGCAAGTACAGCAACAGCAACAACAACAGCAACAGCAACAGCAACAGCAACAACAGCAACAGCCAGGCATTGTTTTTCAGCCTCCAAATTTACTTAACAATACTCAGATCAAGACAACCGTACCTTTTAATGGTGTTGACTTCTACTCCTGGAGCTTTGAGTTTGAGCTTCTGGCGCAGTCCGCTGGGCTATGGCCGTTCTTCACTGGCAAATTTACGTATCCTGTCGTGGGAACACAACTGGAGCAGCAGAGCTTCTTGCACGCCTCTTTCGGTGCGTATACAGTTCTTGTACGGAACTTGTCGCCGAAGGAGCAGCTCGGCGTTCGGTCATTTCACTCAAGTTTTACCCCAGCCGAAACTGCATGGAACCATCTGAAAGGGGTATACATGGCAAAAGATACGATAATAGTGAGTAAAATACTTTCGCAGCTGACAAGTGTGCAGATGATGACAAATGAAAACGTCATGGACTACGTTAACCGCGTCCGTACATTACGTGACCAACTGGAGAAGAGCGGAGGATACTTCCCTCGTGAGATGTATCTCACTGTTCTTCTGGCTGGTCTTGGACCCGAATGGCGACAGACGCGCGCCTTCCTGCGCATGAACTCCAACCTCTCCAAAGCCGAAATTTCGTCGTATCTTCAAGCAGAACTGTAAGATCTTGACCTGCAGTCACAACGCAACAAAAGGGGGGATATACAATTCAGTTTCTATTCAACACCAACTCGACGTCCTCGACACTTCTGTCAAATTTGCAACAAGGGAGGGCATTCTACCGACCGATGCTATTTTAACAAGAAGTATTTACCTCCTGAAGAATCGCAGAGGACGCAATCACCTCAGCAACTACGACAGCCTTCGAAGCAGTTTTTGCAGAAGCCTACGCCTCCAAAATCAGCATCTGCAATATCAACACCACCAACGACACTCAGTTCTGCCCCTCCAAGCAACTCATCAAAGCCGACAGCCACTAGTTCAAACTCTGCCACTAATACGGTAACTTCAAATTTTCGTTTACCTACTTCATCCACTCACATGGTCAATTGCAGTACCGATACTTGGTACTTGGATAGTTGTTGTGGCCATCATATGGTCTCTTCAACCAATCCTTTCATCTACAACCGTTGTCGACTTCTTCAACCCTGCCCAATCACACTCGCCAACGGTCAAACAATTTCAGCATAAAATATCGGCAGTCTACTTTTGACATCAATCGATGCGGGAAAGCCTTTATGCCTTACCAGCATTTTACTCGTTGACAATCTTGGCTTCAATTTAGTGTCAACTCTTCAACTCTTGAAGAAGAAAATCCGCACGGTCGGAAACTGCATGACACAGGAGCAAGAGTTAATACATGATGTGGACAACACGTACATCGGAAGAGCAGCAACAAAAAATGGCGTATTCGTCTTACGCTTCAAGGCAGCAAAATCTTCCGAAGATGTCACTCTCCCTCAAGCTCCTTCAATCATCGCAGCAGCTGCTTTGGTAACTGTTCCACCGATTGAACTCTGTAGCAGCGAAGAAGAAACTCCTAGTAGCAGCACCACCGACACACATGCCGTTAATATCAAGAAAGATATTAGTCACGAATACGAAGAAATTCTGCAACTCGCACCTGAAAACTTCTTCGACGCGACAACTACTCTCGACAAGCCTTCAGATACTTCTTCAACTACCAGTATCTCAGAAAAAGGTTATGCACTCTCAAGGTTTCTCCTACCTTCATATTTCATGCTCTTGATTCTTGCTTGGCTGGCCATAGCAGCAAGCGAGCTCCGTACCCGGCTGCAAACTTTCCTACACTACAGAGAAGCCGCTTACCAGACTACGACTTCCAACGTCTACGAGCAAGGCACGGGCATCAACTGCTACCAAACCCCTCGTCATCGCGTTCAACAATGCAATGAAGCAGAAGGGCTGAACAGTACCCTACACGAGCTACGTGAGCAGCTGCGTGCACTGCTGACTCAACAAATTTCTCTGCCCGTCACTTCACGATTCTCTGTCAAGCCTCCAGATGTTGTCGAGGCTCCTCTCCACCACGTGCAACACTCTCGTGGTTTTGCATTCGTCCCCTTCGGCCTTGCCACGTTCATTGGCGCAACCCCAACCACTTTCAACCCGACTCATTTTTACTCTGCCGAAGTGAGGGGGGAAGGAGGATCTACACGCACTTCGTCAAAGCCAAAATTCGTCATCAATAAGGGAAGCACGTGATTGGTCTACCATTTGACCAATGGAATGACCACCGACTACTTACAGCACATGAAGTTTACACGTCACAAGATTCCAAATTTCATATTTCATTCGACGAACTCCAACCACGACGTGACTACATCGAACTTCCAGGAATGAAGGGGAGTGTTGTGGTAAATGAAGTTTCGCATTCCTGCAAGTTCCGTTTTCAGTGTAGTTAGCAGTATCGAGTTTCTCAGTAAGTAACCATGCCCGAGTGTTGATGTCAGCAAAGCATCGCGGGTCTCGGCATGACGTCAGCATACCGCTTCAGTTACGCGATTAGGCGTAACGAACCGTTTCAGTCACGCGAACAGTCGCGACCCTATAGTATGACGAATAGGTCGCATAGCGCGATAGTGACGAACAGGTACATTAGCGAACAGGTATTTTTCCTAGGGCTATAAATCCTTGTAATGCCTTTCTATTATTAACCTTGACTTTCCACCGAATTATGTGCTCAGGTTATTCAACCTTCGACTACCCACAAGTTCATGTGCTCAGGTTCACTCTGATAAGACTTCCGCTGTCTTACTAGTCTAACATTCCAACAAAGATCCTTGGTTAAGTACTCGTGTTTGTAGATTCTATACTTAGTCTCCTACAACACCAGACGATTTATTTCAGACGGCACAGTAGCAGCAAACAGCTGTGGAAATCTTTTATTCTTTTGTACTTTCTTGGTAACGTTTGTTATCTATGAGAGTGCATACCAGAATAAATCATGATACATAAATGAGACGTATCTGAACCATATTGGGTAAGCATATTCGGTGATGTAACAGGCGGCGAAGGTAAGGTGTTCCACGTCACTGCTGTCGTCCCACGTCAATCACGGCACTTTCCTCGTTGGATCAGCGCATTGGATTCGCCGGGCGGCATCGTTGAGGTTGAGCCCGATGACTTGGCGGAGCGCCCAAGGGGTCGCAGCTTGCCCTTGCGAATTTGCCCGCGCACCATTGCCAGCGGAAACATGCGCTGCCGCCTCCTCCCGTGCTGGACTTTCCACCACAGCGGAACCCCTCCAGCGACCCACAAACCCGCGCGTCTTCACTTGCCCTCGTTATTCCGCCGCGCGTGACTCCTCCCCTCGCCGCTTCTGCCTCTCCTCGCCCTCCCACTACAACTCCACGCCCCAGCCTGCCACAATCCATTTTTCGAGACCTGATCGGATCTCGCCACACATCCAACCTAGCGCGAGCGTCGTCTTTGCAATGGCGACTGCCACGGTTAGCCCGCTTTTGGCGCGCACGCCAGCGGCCCTCGCGAGCAGGTCCGCGTCCTCGCCGCGAAGCGGCCTCAGAGCCGCACCGTTCCGTCCGCACCAGCGAGATCTCTCACGGCGCCTCGTGCAATCACGTGGAGCAACCAGATGCGCTGTTGCTGACGTGGCTAGAACCGAGGACGAGCAGAGCAAGGGTCAGCTGGATGGCGATCTGCCACAGGTGCGTTTGGGAGAGGTCGGCGTGAGGTGCAATGCGTTGGGCCAGGTGGCGGCCTGTGCGGCACGGACACTCCTGGCACATCGCGCGGTGACTGGCACGTCACGATGCCTTTAGACGTTTCACGGTGCTTGAGGGGGAGGCGCGACGCGGTTTGCCATGCCTTGCCTTCACGTCCTCGTTCGGCGACCTTAATCCTGCGCGTAATTTGCGCGTTTTTCTTAGTCGCCATAGCGGCGCCTGATCCTCGAGGAGCGCGCCTTGAGTCTTCGAGAATGCGCCAGTCACCCTCTCTTCGTCCCACTCCGCCAATCAACTCACTCCCTTTCCCCGCGCGCCATCCCCCCCGCCAAGCGCAAGCAGGGCGATCAGTCGGCGCAGTTGACGGCGGATCTGGCGGGCAACGGGTGGCGCAGCACGCGGCGCACGAAGCTGGTGTGCACCATCGGGCCCGCGTGCAGCGGGTTCGAGCAGATCGCGGCGCTGGCGGAGGGCGGCATGAACGTGGCGCGCATCAACATGTGCCACGGCACGCACCAGTGGCACCGGTACGAGTCAACATGTGCCACGGCACGCACCAGTGGCACCGGTGGGGCTCATGGCGGGAGTGAGGGTTGAGTGGCGGGAGTGAGGATTGGGTGGCGGGAGTGAGGATTGGGTGGCAGGGTACGCCGCCAGAGGCGTAGCGAGGGGTCACTCAGCGGGGAGCGCGCCACGCGCACTGCCATGCATCACTACATGCACTGCCATGCATCACCACATGCACTGCCATGCATCACCACATGCACTGCCATGCATCACCACATGCACTGCCATGCATCACCACATGCACTGCCGTGCAATCCACACAGTTCCGTTTCCTTGCGTGTCGCATGCCATCCATGCCATCCATGCCATCCATGCCATCCATGCCATCCATGCCCTCCATGCCATCCATGCCATCCATGCCATCCATGCCATCCATGCCATCCATGCCATCCATGCCATCCATGCCCTCCATGCCCTCCATGCCCTCCATGCCATCCATGCCATCCATGCCCTCCATGCCATCCATGCCATCCATGCCATCCATGCCCTCCATGCCCTCCATGCCCTCCATGCCATCCATGCCATCCATGCCATCCATGCCATCCATGCCATCCATGCCATCCATGCCATCCATGCCATCCATGCCATCCATGCCATCCATCCAATCCATGCCATCCTTTGCATGCGTGCGAGCAGGCAGGTGATAGCGGACATCCGCCGGCTGAACGCGGAGCGCGGCTACAGCGTGGCAGTGATGATGGACACCGAGGGCAGCGAGATCCACATGAGCGACCTCAGGGGCGCCCCCTCCGCCAAAATCCAGGTCCGTTGCACGCGCGTGAGCGTGGAGTTGCATGGCGTGGCATGGGATGGCATGCGTGCATGGCACGGCATGGAGTGGCGTGGAGTTGCATGGCGTGGCATGGGATGGCATGCGTGCATGGCACGGCATGGACTGGCATGGAGTTGCATGGCGTGGCATGGGATGGCATGGCATGGCATGGGTGGGCAGGCATGGGTGGACGCGTGGAGGCATGCATGGGTGCAGGGGGCGGGAATGGGTGGGGCTGTTTCGGTGCTGGAGGGTAGGGTAGCCCGCGGATCAGCAGCGTCGCCCCGGGGGGTCTCACCGCCCTCTCACTCTTCCTGCACCTCTTCCCCCAACTCACTCCCACTCTGCCCACCTGCTATCTCGCCACCCCCACAACGCCTCCCGCGCCCCCAGGAGGGCGACGTGTGGACGTTCACGGTGCGTCAATTCCCCGAGGCCGTGGCGCTGCCGCCGCACACCGTGCAGGTCAACTACGATGGCTTCGTCGACGGTGAGCCACGCCCGCGGCGCCTGGGGGTTCCCAGGTGTTCGTGTTCGTCCCTTCCACGACTCCTGTTTGGAGGGCCGCCTATATTCAGTTCACTACTGCCTCATGCCGCCTTCCTGTCCTTCCCCCTCCCCGGCCGGCCTTTCACTCTGTATCCCGCCTCTCGTGGCCCATCAGACGTGCGCGAGGGCGATGAGGTGGTGGTGGACGGGGGCATGGCGCGGCTGCAGGTGACGGCGCGCATGGGGCCCGACGTGGTGTGCAGCGTGGTGGACCCCGGGCTGCTGCTGCCGCGCGCCAACCTCACCCTCTTCCGCAAGGGGCAGCTCGTGCGCGCCACCAACTCCATGCTGCCCACCATCTCGTCCAAGGTGTGCCGTGTGCCATGTCCGTGTGCCGTGCGCCGTGCACCCTGCACCGTGCATCGCATCATGCCTTGGCTATCTAACCGCGCGCCATCCTTCCTCTCCCCTACCTGTTGCTTTCTCTCCGGCACGCGTGCTGCCAGGACTGGATTGACATCGACTTTGGCATCACGGAGGGGGTGGACTTCATCGCCATCTCCTTCGTGCGCTCGCCCGAGGTCATCACGCACCTGCGCAGCTACGTCAATGCGCGCTCGCCCACCAGGTGGGAGCCGTGGCACAGATGGGTGCCGCTGTGCCAAGTGGCACAGATGGGTGCCGCTGTGCCAAGTGGCACAGATGGGTGCCGCTGTGCCAAGTGGCACAGATGGGTGCCGCTGTGCCAAGTGGCACAGATGGGTGCCGCTGTGCCAAGTGGCACAGATGGGTGCCGCTGTGCCAAGTGGCACAGATGGGTGCCGCTGTGCCAAGTGGCACAGATGGGTGCCGCTGTGTCAAGTGGCTCCGCTATCGTCTCAACTCTGTGTCGCACTCTGTGTGCCATGCTGCTTTCGCAGAGGCAAAACTGTTTCGCCTGCATCCTGATGAAAGCTTTAGGGTACATTCCAGCGCCGTGACAGTCCGAGCCGTCGATTGTCTGACACAAAGAGAACTGACAGGACAGAAGTTATGGATGGCACTTGACAGGGAAGTACCGCACAACCTTTTTCTGACCCGCTATTCCACGTGCCCCTCCCCAGGCCCATCGCGCTGATCGCCAAGATCGAGAGCTGCGACGCGGTCGGGCGGCTGGAGGAGATCATAGCGGCGTCGGACGGGGCGATGGTGGCGCGCGGCGACCTGGGCGCGCAGATCCCGCTGGAGGAGGTGCCGGGCGTGCAGCAGGAGATGGTGGACATCTGCCGCGACCTCAACAAGCCCGTCATCGTCGCCTCGCACCTCCTCGAGTCCATGATCGAGTTTCCCATCCCCACGCGCGCTGAGGTGCGATCAAGCTCCCCATCCCCACGCGTGCTGAGGTCAGCCCACTGCCTGGCGCTCAGGACGGCAGTGCTGGGAGGGAGGGGGTGATTGGAGGCACCATTGGCTGGGCGATGAATGATATATAGACCCACTGTGGCTGTGTGTGGCCTTGTGCTTCACATTGCTGTTGCTGTGCATATGCCCTCTCTGTGTGTATGCCCTCTCTGTACATCACAACATCACACGAAAGCTCTCCTTGCACCCCCCCCCCCCCCAGGTGGCGGACGTGGCGGAGGCGGTGCACCAGCAGGCGGACGCCCTGATGCTGTCGGGGGAGTCGGCCATGGGGCAGTTCCCCCTCAAGGCGCTCGATGTGCTGCGCACCGTCGCGCTGCGCTTCGAGGCCATCGAGGAGGGGCAGGGGGCGTATGAAGGGGGCGCGGGCGCGGCGGTGAGGGAGGGGCGTGCGGCGGTGGAGCGCGTGGCGCAGCTGCCGGAGCTGTCGGAGGCGCTGAGGGACCGCATGTCCGAACAGATCTGCGCGGCTGCCGCCCAGATGGGTGCGTGCAGTGCAGATGCGAAGGGTTTACCTGAGACGTTGCTCCTGCTATCTGATCTACTCTGCTTCTCTTTTCTGCCCTCATCCCACCTCTGCTCCCTCGCCCTGCTCCCTGCTCCCTGCTCTTGGCCCTGCAGCCATGCGTCTGGGGGCAAAAGCGATAATCGCCTTCACCCAGAGGGGCTACATGGCCTCGCTGCTCTCCCGCTGCCGCCCCAACTGCCCCATCTTCGCCGTCACGCCCTCCCAGGTACGCCCTCCCCCTGTCACTCCTGTACCAGGTATGCCCCCCCCCTGCTGCAGAGTGGCGCGGCTCGTGTTGATGACCGTGCTGCACCATGGCGCCCTACTTGCAACCTACTCCACCCACCTAGTACCTGCCGTATGTGAAAGTATTTCCCCCAGGCCCGCCGCCTCACACAGTTCCACCCAGTTCTGCCGCTCTCCCGCATGCACCCTGTAACTCGATTTCCCTGGCGCCCTTCATTCCCTGGCGCCCTTCATGCCCTGGCGCCCTTCATTCCCTGCCGCCCTTCATTCCCTGCCGCCCTTCATTCCCTGCCGCCCTTCATTCCCTGCCGCCCTTCATTCCCTGCCGCCCTTCATTCCCTGCCGCCCTTCATGCCCTGGCGCCCTACATTCCCTGGCGCCCTTCATTCCCTGGCGCCCTTCATGCCCTGGCGCCCTTCATTCCCTGGCGCCCTTCATTCCCTGCCGCCCTTCATTCCCTGCCGCCCTTCATTCCCTGCCGCCCTTCATTCCCTGCCGCCCTTCATTCCCTGCCGCCCTTCATGCCCTGGCGCCCTACATTCCCTGGCGCCCTTCATTCCCTGGCGCCCTTCATGCCCTGGCGCACCCTAAAACTAGATTTCCCTTGCGCCCTTCATGCCCGTGCGCCCCTCACTCCCTTCCCCTTCTTCCTCCCCCCCCCCCAGGCGGTGCGGCAGCACATGAGTGTGTACTGGGGGCTTGTGCCGTTCCGCCTGGACCTGTCGGAGGATGCGGAGGACAACATGAGGCGCGCCTTCAATGTGCTCAAGGTATGTCGCTTTCTAATGAATAGGCCTTTCTTTGCCGTCACAGTGGTGGGTTGGCAAGACGAGTTTTGAATGGAAAGCCAGTGGCGGGCGTGCCAGTGTACCCAAAGCTTGCTCCCTTGGCTGCGTCCCTCTGCTTCATTTCCCCTCCCCCTTGCCTCCCCCTCCCTTGCCCCTCCTTGCCATATCCCCTCCACCCCCCCCACCCCCCCTTTTCCTCGCCCACCCCCCAGGCACGGGAGCTGGTGGCGCCGGGGGATCTCATCATCGCCGTGTCGGATGTGGCAGGCGGCAAGGAGGCGGTGGGAGCCCGGCAGAGCGTGCAGGTCAGGAAGGTGCTGTGAAGGAGAACACGCTGGGGTGCTTCTCTGAAGCATTCTGCCCCGCGTCCCGCAATGGCTGGTGCAGGGAGAGTAGCAACACTCACTGCGATGGTGGGAGCTACATGTCCATCTCAAACATTGGCATGGAATATTTAGTGAGACACTGTCGGCTCAAGGCTGACGGTACAATGGCCACCGTCCAGCTGCTTGCTTTCTTGCTGTGCTAGTGTTGTGTATCTCTGTATATTGTTAATGGAGTAAATAATATTTTGCTGCTTAGCAGAACACTTTAGGGTAGATATTTATAGCGGTAGCATTCTACGTACTTCGTTTTATGAACTGTCTACAGGCAATACCGAACATGATAAGAGCAGCGGCTACTCCTCCGCAGGAGCCACAGCACGTATGGCATCTCCCCCCACCAATCACTTCGCCCGGACCCCCCTCCAGCGCTGATTCTCCTCCGCGGTGTCAGGCAGGATCTCACGTTGGACTCCTGAAGATGTGGGATCGAACGGCCCTGGCATCATTCCCCTCCCCTTGTGCTGGCTGCGTCGCCGCCATCGCTGTTCCGCAACTGGCTCTTACCTGCGCCTCATGGACGCGAGCCGCAAGTTTCACCAGCCCACCAGCTCCCCCGATAGGGGATTTGCGTCGCAATGCCAGGGTTCCAAATTCCGCAGTGAGGCAGCGCGATGGCAGGGCTGCGATGGCGGTGCCATGACTGCTGCTTGCTGCCAAAGAGAATCGCCCTCTCGCCCTGACGACCACTTCCATCATTTCATGGTCCCAGTCCAAGCTGCGTGCCAACTTTATTACACCCCCACGGCTTCAACTTGCCTGCCCTAACCTTTCTGTCCACTCCACCACACTTCACATTACCTCAAGCGCTCTACCAGATTCCTGATGGGCGGGCGGAGCGGAGGCAGCACATGGTGCGCGCGACTGTGGCATGCTCTCCGCCCGCCTCCATGCTCCCGCGTGCACGTTGCGGCGCACTCTGCCATATTTCATATGGCTGTTCTGTTCCCACGGTCGATCATCCCATATCAGCGCGAAAACGTCTTGTTTGTCGACAAGCAAATCCTTCACCCGCTCTATCGCAGTTATCCTACCTCCCTGTCTTTTTCTCGAGTCCCCTTAGACTTTCCGAATCGAGCTTTCCGGAGCAGCGCCAGGCGCCACGATGCAGGTTGCGCAGCTTTTCGCGGCCCGCGAGCAGGCGGCTTGGGTTGACAGCGCGGGCGCCGACGCACCGACTTCCAACGCGCCCGCGGCTCCGCGCGGCGTCATCCCGCTGCAGCTGCCCGACTCCGACGACGACCGCGCGGCAGCTCAAAGGCGCGGGCGCTCAGTACTGAGCGCGGGCAGCAGCCGCGAGTACGGCCGCGCCGATCCCTCGGATGCGTGGCGCGCCATCGCTGGTCTCGACCGCGCGGACGGCGGCGAGAAGAGCCCGCGGCGGAGCCCGAGGGGCCGCGCCACTGCCCGCCAGGTCGGGCAGGTGGGGCTGAGCCCGAGAGGCCGCCCCGCCGCGAACATGTTCAAGCGGACCCGCGGGGCGTCTCCCCGCGAGGAGCGCGACGAGTGGCCGGCGAGCGTGGGCGCAAGCGACGGCGCGGGCGCGGGCACTGGCATGATCAGCCCGCGATCCCCGGCAGGGCCCAAGGCGCCCCTTGCATCCCCTCCTGTCACCCCCGGTCGCGGGTTTCCCAGCCCGCGGACAGCGGGCGCCCTGCCCAAGAGCGCCAGCGCCAGCGCCAGCAGCAGCGGCCGCAACCGCAGAAGAGACGCGGGGCTCCTGTCGCCGCGCGGCAATGGCGGCGAACTCAGCGAGACGAGACCATGGCGACGGGTGGACGGCACCGGAGAGTCGCGTTTCTCCGAGGAGCGGGGCGACGCGCGCGAGGGCGAGTCGAGCGCGTCGTCCACGCCGCGCGGGGGCGTGGCGGCGAGAAGGCGCGTGCCGTATTCACTCTCTTCCCCCGCGGCTGTGTCGCCCCCCGTCTCCCCCGCCACCGTGCTGCCAAGCCCCTCCTCCGATCGCGTCGCGCAGCCGCTCTCCCCCGTGCTGCTCCCGTTGTCCGCTCTGCGCGCGCTGCGCGCCGTGTGCCCGCACTGCGCGGCGGAGCTGGCGGTGGCGGTGCAGATCGGCGCGGACGGCGCGGCGACGCTTGGAGTGGAGGCGGCCGCGCCGTGGGAGGGCGGCGGACTGTACGACCCGCCGCCGCTGACGCCCCCCTGGCGACGACAGCCGCGGTTGAGGCAGCAGGCGGCGGGGAAGCAAGAGGAACTGCGCGCGGAAAACATCGCGTCTCCGCGGCCGCGCGTTGCGGGCCAGAGTGCGAGTGGCGGCGTTGTGACGAAAAGCAAAGCAGAGTCGGCGAAGGCTCGGCACCGCCGAATCCATAGCGCGATCGAAGGGCTGGTAGTGGACGGCTTGGCGGAAGACGGAACGGCAGAGAAAGGCACGGCAGCGGAAGGAGTGGCGGGAGCGGTGGAGGTTGACGGTGGCGAGGGGACTTCCAGCGGGCCGAGGGACGCGGAGGAGGGAGACGGAGGAAAGACGTCGGGGGAGGATGGGGAGGGGGAGCGGGAGAGGGCGAGGGAGGGGACCCGTGGGCTGTTGGAGAGCATGTCGGAGGGGGATTTGAGCCAAGGCGGCGGGGGAAGCGGCGGGGAGAGCAAAGAGAGCGCGGCGGAGGCGGATGGCAGGGGCGGCGGAGTGGAGAGCGACGGGAATTTCGGGGCGGAGGGGGGTAGGGGGGGTAGGCGGGCAGAGAGGGGCGGCAGGCGGATCCCTTTGTCTCCCGCGCTGGGCGCACGGCGGGGCGAGCCGAGCGGGCAGAGGGGAGGCGGCGGGCAGGTCAGGAGGGCGGCAAGCCCGCTGTCGATCGCTGTGGGCGGGGAGGGGCAGGGGCAGCAGGAAGAGGAGGAGGGGGGCGGCGGAACTCCGAACTCGGGGGGCAGCAAGGCGCACCGGCGCTTCACGACGTGGGACGGCGGCAGCAGCGTGAGCGCGGGCGCGAGCATGGCGCCATGGGAGTTCGTGCTGCGGCGCGCGTACCGCGACGTGGGCGAGTGGTTCGACGTGCGCGAGCAGCAGCTGGGCGTGGGGCAGTTCGGCGTCATCCGCGCGTGCGTGCGCCGCACCACGGGGGTGACCTTCGCGTGCAAGACAATCCGCAAAGACTGCGTTCTGGTGAGTGGCTTGGGCACCTCTGGGTAATACATAGGCGGTACGCCAGGAAGCCTTCCGAATTATAACCCATTCGGACCAAGATACAAACACCAAAAGGAGCATTTAACTAAATGATTACTGGTAAATACTTTGTGAAAACGCATCCAACTTACGTTGTAGATTGGTTGGTGTCTGATTCAGTCTGCATTAGCTGAAGGTCTCATGCACATCAAATACCATAAGATTATTCAACAGCCTTGGTTTAGCCTTGCTGCGTGCCTTGGCCTCTGTTCTTACTGCCATGTTTCCAATCTGAACTCCATCCACCCCGCATCCCCACCGCATCATCTCCCTGCGTGGGCATGGCGCGGTGCAGACAGCGGAGGACGCGGAGGACGTGCGCAAGGAGGTGGCGATGATGCAGCTGCTCAAGGCGCACCCCAACATCATCGAGATCAACCGCACCTTTGAGGACGACCGCCACGTGCACATTGTCATGGAGATCTGCCGCGGCGGCGACCTCTTCGACCGCATAAAAAAGGGCGGCAGGCTCAGCGAGCGCGGCGCGGCCACGGTGCTGCAGCAGCTGCTGGCAGCACTGGCCTTCTGCCACGGGCAGGGCGTGGTGCACCGCGATGTCAAGCCCGAGAACATCCTGCTCGTAGCGCCCGACAGCTTGGCCAAGGGGGCCACGGGCAGCGGGGCCCCGGGGGAAGAGGGCAGCAGGGGTGGGGGGGGCAGCAGGGGCGTGGAGATCCGGCTGATCGACTTTGGTATGTCGGCGCGCTTCCAGCCGGGCGAGCCGCTGTCGGAGCTGATCGGCACTCCGTACTACATGGCGCCCGAGGTGCTGGCGGGCGCGTATGGGCCCGAGGCGGACGTGTGGAGCGCGGGGGTGGTGCTGTTTGTGATGGTGGCGGGGTACCCGCCGTTCTGGGCGGGTAGCAACGACGGCATCTTCGACGCCATCCGCACCAAGGACGTGCCGTTCCGCGCGGCCAAGTGGCAGGGTGTGAGCGAGGCGTGCAAGGACGTGGTGCGCGGTCTGCTGCACAAGGACCCCCGCTACCGCCTCACCTTGGGACAGGCGCTCGGTCAGTTGCTCTCTCGTGCCCCACTGCCCTCCCCTCCCCTGCTTGCCGTGCCGTGGTACCCTTTCCACATGTGAGTGAGGCTCCTTGGTGTTTCCCAGACTGCATCGTGCCCAACCACTGCTGCTGCTTGTTTCGGCGTTCTTCCCCGTGGTGTGGCAGAGCATCCGTGGATCCGGGAGAATGCGACCACCTCATCTCCTCAGTAGTCCCCAGGGGTCACTACTGCCATGTGCTGTGCACTGGGTGCAGCCGCAGCTTGTGCTTTGTTGGGCTGAGAAAAGCCCTTAGGATCTTTTGCAGAGACTAAGTCCCAGCTTGTAGAGACTTGAGACTTGGAGTAGTGCAGCGGAAGTTGAGACGGTTGAACCCTTGTACTAGTATGTGAGAACAAGTGATTGATTAAAGAAACAAGCATACAGCAATATATAGTAGATAAGAAAGCAGTTGTAGAATACAGTTACAGGAACGGTTTATCGAGTCGCACAGCGACTCGATTGCCGCTTCGGTTACCATCCGTGATGTTGTAACGGTCAGTCGCAACCTCCAGTTGCGACCTTTCGAGTCCTTTCACATTCTTTGTCCGCCCCCTCGTGTAACCTCCGTTGACTCGCGTGCTCCCCTGTAATCTTCCTCGAGTACAGTGTTACACTTCAGAAACGCTTAAGTCCTTGAGATATTTCCAACACTCCCCTTCGTTTCTGGAGTGCTGGAGTGTTCAGATCCGGTGGCGTTTGTTTGCCCGGTTAGGAGCATGCAGTAGTCGAATTTTGCTTTCGCCAATTTCTTCGTCAGATAATCTGCGGCCATTTCTGTCGTCGGGCAGTAACTGAGTTGAAGTCTCCCCTTCGCGATTTCATCCTTGACGAAGAAGTACCGCAGGGCGATGTGCTTGGTTCGATTGGCGAAGCCGTCCTTGTTCGCGATTTTGATCGCAGATTGGTTGTCGCAGAGGAGTGAGAAGGCGGGCAGGGTCGCGATCTTCGCTTCTTCGAGTAACTCTCGTAGGTAGAGTCCTTCCTTGGTCGCAGTACAAAGGGCGATATACTCTGCTTCAGCCGAGGATAGTGCGATTAACTCCTGCTTGCTCGACTGCCAGGAGATAGTTCCGATAGGTTCTAGTCGGTAGATGTAGCCCGTCCTAGACCGTCGATTTTCGCTGTCTCCCGCGTGGTCGGCGTCGACGTATCCGAGTAGTCGTACGGACGGTGTTGTTGCCTTGCTGTAGGTAAGCCCGATCGTCGGCGTGGAGACGAAGTAGAGTAGCGCTCGATTGAGTTCTTCGAGATCTTCCTGTTGCGGATGCTTCAGATGTGTCGCCAGCTGACTCGCACTATAGGATAGGTCGGGTCGGCAGGTTACTGCTGCGAATAGTAGGCAGCCGAGCTTCTGTTGATACTCCTGGATTTGTTTCGCGGGGAGTTTTGTAGAGGCGCTGCCGTTGTTCCCGTAGCGGTAGGGAGTTGGGACCGCAGTCGGTGTTAGAGCGAATTTCTTCGCGACGGTGCTTGAGTACTTTCCAGCGTGTAGGTAGAACGCCGTGTCGTCTTCGACGACGTTCAGTCCTAGGTACTGCGTAACTTCGTCGGACACCGTGAGAGTTAAATCTTCTTTCAGCTCCCCTTCGAACCAGGTGGCGATGTCGGTAGTTGAGCCGATGTAGAGCAGGTCGTCGACGTAGACGATGAGCAGAACATACTCTCTTCCCTTCTGCAGTCGGTACATCCCTTGGTCATGCGGCAGCTGTAGGAAGCCGATTTTTACGAGACGGCTGTGAAGATGCTGCTGCCAGAGCCGCGGGGCTTGCTTGATCCCGTATAGGGATTTTGTCAGTCGGCATATTTTCGTGGGGTCGTCGATGAATCCGTGGGGTTGTTCGACGAAGATCTCAGCGTCCACAGGTGCGTATAGGAACGCATTCGCGACATCGATTTGGCGTAGTGGTAGTGTTTTTGTGGCCGCGACGGCGAGTAGGATGCGTAATGAGGTGTGACGGGAGACTGGGGCGAAGGTTTCTGTGTAGTCGGTTCCGTATCGTTGATCGAAGCCTCGTACGACCCATCGAGCTTTGAATCGTTCGATGGAGCCGTCTGAGTTGGTCTTGATGCGGTACACCCATTTCCCCGAGAGAACGTTCTTCCCGTTGATGCTCGTTGCAGGTACCAGTTTCCATGTTTCTCGGTCTTGCAGAGCTTTTAACTCCTTTTCCATCGCTTCTTTCCATTTTGCCTTATGTTCCCCCCCAGAGCCTGCGACAAGGTTGAAGGCTCACGCGTAGAAGGCGGCGGCGGATGCTGGACGGAGACCCAGAGGCCTAGAATCTGGAGTCCCGTGGGTGTGTGTCGAGGGGAATTGTCATTCCCCGAATAAGCTGCTTCGTCACCGTCTTCGGGGTCAGGTAAGAAATTGGGGCCGATGCGTTCCGAAATATTCGTGTCGACGGGGTGCGGTGTAGCGTAACCTTGGTCGGCGAAGTGGTAAAAGGTGTCGAGGTTGTTGCTATCGAGGGGATTATCTTCATCGAGTGGAACAGGTATGGAACAGAATGGGAGTGGCCCGGCAGCTTCCGAGGCTCCAGGTACGTCTTCTTCTGCTGCGTCAGCCTCGGCAGCATGGTCAGCGAAGGAGCGAAGGCCCGCGAAGCCGTCGGTGGGGTCGTCTGAGTTGGCAATGTTGTCCAGGTAATGCTGCAGCGTCAGTCGCTCGTAGAAGATAACATCACGTGATGCCACCGTATTTTTGTCTTGTATGTCGAGGATCTTCCACGCGTGAAAATGTTTGGCGATGCCGAGGTGTAGTCCCCACCGAGCTCGTTGAGTGAAGCGTCCTGCTCGAGCTGTGTGGGGTCTGTATTGTACCATGCAGCCGAAAACTCGAAGTAATTTTGTGCTGCCCCTTTTTCCCGTCCACAGCAGGTGTGGTGATGCGTTGTTGGGGAGCGATGACGAGGACAACAGGTTGTGCAGGTGGACTGCATGTGTCATCGCGTCTGGCCACAGTGCGTTGGGCAGCCTCATCCCCAGAAGCAGTTTTCGCATCGTCGTCTGCAAGGTCCGGTTCATGCGTTCTGCTACCCCCTGCTGCTGGTGAGCATAGGGCAGAGACACCAGGCGTCGGATTCCCCTTTCCGCGAGATAGGTCCTGAAGCGTTGTGACTGGTATTCCAGTGCACCGTCTGACTGGAAACTCTTGAGTTTGGTTCCTGACTCTCGTTCGGCGATTGGAAGCCATGTGGTGAATGCCTCGAAGGCTTGATCGCGCGTTTTGAGATTGAAGTGCCAGACGTATCTGGTTGCGGCGTCGATGAACGTGATGACGTAGTTGAAGTCGGCTTCGGTGTCGTCTCGAGGCATGTTTAGAATATCGCTGTAGACCTTTTCCATCGGAGCGTAAGTGGGTGCGCTTGGATTGTGATGGGCTGGGAAAGGTTGATGAGGAAGATCTGCTTCGGGGCATGTGAAACACCGTGCGCGTGGTCGTCGGAGTTCCTGGCCGCTCGTCGTCAGAAGGGCGTTGCGTTCTAACACTTCTGCTTGGATTGTTTGAAGTATCGTGCTGTTTGCAGGATGTCCGAGACGTTGGTGCCAGATGTCGTCGGGAGCGCGGTGACCGGGCGAGCGGTGGTAGATGTCGGCGTTGGAGAAGAACGCGACGACCGAGGCGGGACTTCGACAAGCTTCTCGTGTGGCGGGCATAAGTTGGTCTGCTTCGGTTGGCTGTCCTCGTGTCGCTGGTGGTGGTACTCGGCTGGGTCCTGCTGCCGATACTGCAGGTGATGGTTTTGTTGGGACACATGCGGGTACTTGTCTTTCTTGTCTGATAACTGCTAATGCTCGTGTTCTTTCTGCTGCAGGTATGGTGTTGGAGTGCCAGAAGCCGTCGCTGTCGAAGTCGGGATCAAGATCTGGCGGATGAGTCCAGGCGGCGAAGGATACGATACCGTCGCTGTCGGCAGTTCCGCGGTCGGGGACGAAGTCCAACACGAAGACACCGGACTTCAGGAGGGCACGACCGATGAAGAGACCGCCCTTCCCGTGGTAAAGTCGGAACTCGTTGGAGAAGGAGTCGCACTCCAGGTGAATCCCCTTAGCCATTAGTTGGCTTACGCTTAATAGGTTGTATCCCAGATTGTCGACGATGAGGACCTTGTTGAGCTGAAGAATAACGTTTGTCTCCATTGATTGTAACTGAACCACGCCTTGTCTATTTGTTTTCAGGTTTTCGTTGTTGGCGACGGTGATGACGACGTCACGGTTGAGGCGTCGCTCGTGTTGTACGAAGCGTCCGGAGGAGCACATGTGCTGACCGCAGCAACTGTCCAAGAACCAGGTGTTCCGCCCGGTGGGTTCGGCGTTAGCGACTGCAGCGTATGTCGGGTTGACCTGAAGTCCTTGCGAGCGCGGCGGCGGGAATTCCTCTTCGTCTGGTGCGTAAGTGGGTGGTGAAGCGGGTGCGCAGTTGTCGATGTGTACCATGCAGTTGATGATGTTGGGTGTTTGTTGTGCAGATGTTGAAGAGCGCCTTGGAGGACTTGCTTGAGTGGAAGCGACTTGTGGGTCTGCTGCACGGTAAACGCGAGGGCGGTTGCAGTTGACCTTGGAGTGCCCGGAAGTCTGACAGTTGTGGCAGAACGGCGGCACGATGGTGAGTCCTCGGTTGTCACGTTGATCTTGCTTGCTGCGTCGGTTGTAGTTGTTGTCATTTCTTCTTTGAGTGTAGAAGACTAACTGCTGTTGCTTCCTTGGTTGTCTTTCCTCGAACAGATCCATCTCCTGTTGTTCAGCGTGAAGCTCGGCGCAGAGGTGCATCTCCGAAATTCTTCCGTGGGCTCGAAGAAGTGATCGTGTGGTTCTCCATTCTGGCCCGAGCCCGGCGAGGACAAGTGTCACGAAGCTTTCTTCAGTGATCGTTCCTCCGCACCGAAGCAGGCGGTCGCGGAGGGTCTGGCAGCGACTCATATACTGCATCGCCTTTTCCCCGGTCTTCATCTGTATTGTTGTCAGCTGTTGCATGAGTCTGCTTTGTGTCACGCTGTCGTTTGCTTGGTAAAGGCATTTGAGGTGGTGCCATGCGAGCTCCGCGGAGTTTCCATAACTCCGATACGTTCTGATGCTCTGCTGCTCTTGTGGTGACAGGTTTCTCAGGAGTACCGTGTACGCCAGCAGCGACTGATATGTGAAGATCTCTTGTTCCTTCCCAGTGCCGTTGCTTGGGAATGGCAGGGACCCGTTGAAGTATCCCAGAAGATGCGCGGCCTCCATCAGCAGCTCGAACTCGAAGCTCCAGGTAAAGAAGTCGTGTCCGTTGAACGGTGAGGATGTCTGAAGTTTGATCACGTGTGAGAACTGCGCCTGTAAACTTAAGATTTCATTCGGTGTTTGTTGTGATGCAGCTGCTGTTGGCTGGGCACGGGGCGGCATGAATTCGAACGTCCCCGGCGAAGAATGATAAGGCGCAAAGGTAGGCGCTTGGTTGTGTCGCCCGAAGGATGAGTTGTCGAGGCTCATCGGCGCTAATCCCATATTCCCTCCATTGCTCTGTGTTGAGTGCGCAGGTGTCCTTGTCTGCTGCAGCTGGTCGAAGTGTGACATGAAGCTGAAGAATCTCTCCATGAGATTCGGGTCCACACTTGAAGAGGGAGACGGAGTCACCATCTCTGGTACTCTTCCCGTTGTTTCTTGAGCAGTCCCGGTCTCTGTCTGCAGTCCTGAGGTGTGCAGACCAGAGTTGCCGTGTTGAGTTTCTTGGGCGCTGGGTGAGCCCGTAGAGACTTTCTTGCCCTTGTTGTCCATGTCTTGCAATCAATGAAGTCGTTGAATTGAGTTGAGTTGCAGGCTGTTGATAGAACGTAGTTGCTGGGAGTTTGGTCTCTGACCAGCTCTCATACCATGTTGGGCTGAGAAAAGCCCTTAGGATCTTTTGCAGAGACTAAGTCCCAGCTTGTAGAGACTTGAGACTTGGAGTAGTGCAGCGGAAGTTGAGACGGTTGAACCCTTGTACTAGTATGTGAGAACAAGTGATTGATTAAAGAAACAAGCATACAGCAATATATAGTAGATAAGAAAGCAGTTGTAGAATACAGTTACAGGAACGGTTTATCGAGTCGCACAGCGACTCGATTGCCGCTTCGGTTACCATCCGTGATGTTGTAACGGTCAGTCGCAACCTCCAGTTGCGACCTTTCGAGTCCTTTCACATTCTTTGTCCGCCCCCTCGTGTAACCTCCGTTGACTCGCGTGCTCCCCTGTAATCTTCCTCGAGTACAGTGTTACACTTCAGAAACGCTTAAGTCCTTGAGATATTTCCAACATGCTTTGAGTGGGCACTCTGCAGGGCTCCCTCCCACGCACACTGTAGGATCCACGGCCGGTCGCCCCTGAGCATGCTTTCAGCTTGAGCCGTGGCAGGCAGTGGCGCTGCGCTGCACTGGACACCACCCATGCTTGCCAGGCCTGCCTGCTGTGCAACATGGTCTTTGCATATCACTGCTCAATGTTTTTTGTGTTTTGTGCAGAAAAAAGCCCTTATTGGGTTGTAGCTGCTTCAGAATGTGGTTTCTGTTCCATGTCTAATTTCAAGACTGCAGCAAACTAGATGCTTCCTGCATCCCCATACAGCAGACGACCTGGATCACACGTGCGCCACAATTCCGCATGAATGGCAATTCCGCTGCCACAACCACAATTCTCCTGGCTCTAGTTCACCTTGGGTTTGATCTTGCGCCTCCTTAGCAGCAGGCACAGCAGCACAAGCAGCAGCAGGGAGAGGAGGCACAGCAGTGGCAGTAGCCCCCCTCGCCCCACCTGCACGCGCCGCTGCTTTGTGCACCGCGCCGGGTGCAGCGATGCCACCACCTCCCACACCTCCTGCTCCCACCTGGCATGGCGTGCGGTGGGGTGGGGTAGGGTGGGGTGAGGTGGGGTGTCACAGAGATTGAGGGATGGAGGCACGGGATTGCAGGCAGCTAGGGTTAGGGAGAGCGGACTGTAAACAGAGCAGAAACAGTGGCCACACTGCACAGGAATGTCATAACACCACCTCATTGTCACACCACACAGCACCGCAGCGCACCTGGCAGCAGAGCTCTCAACCGCCGGCAGCAGCCCCACGGCGCCCCCGTAGTCCATGGCCTCCACGGCCGCTGCCACGCGCCGCCACCCCTCCACCACCGCGTTGTACTGCGCTGAGAGCGCGCGCTCCCACCGCTTGAACACCGCGTACGTGTCCTCGTCTGATTGGCCACAGGGGGGAGAGGCAGGAAACAGGGCACGGTGTAACAGCAGCAGATTGGTTGTTAACACGAATGAGAAGAGAGGACGAGCATGGACGAGCATGGACGAGCATGGACGAGCATGGACGAGCATGGACGAGCATGGACGAGCATGGACGAGCATGGACGAGCATGGACGAGCATGGACGGGCGGTGACACAGCATCTCCCTCCAAGCAGGATGAACGCCACGACAGTGCTGCTCCCGTACGACACGCCACACCTGACCCCCCATCACACACACATGGCGCATGACACGCAGCACGAGACAGCCTCACGGGTGGTCTCAGCAGCCAGCGTGGCCACGGCTCTGTTGACCCGCGCCACCGCCTCGTCCAGCGCCGTGACCACGAACGACCGCGCCATGGCGTCGCGCTGCAGCACCGACACCCGCGCGCTTGACGCCCCGCCACCCCCCAGCAACCCCCCGCCTATGGCCGCCAGGGGATGGCCCCCCGCCGCCCACCGCCAGTCCTGCAGGTGGGGAGTGGTGCGGCGTGAAATTACTATCAGAACTCAGTCACTAACCACTGAGTTAAAAGGGCTTATTAAGTAGCGGGTAAGTGCGCCCATAACCCCCCAGGCTCTGCACCTGTGACCCTTCCCCGAGGACCAAGGGCAACCCCAGCGTGTATCATGACAAGTAGTTGTTTGAAGGGGACGGTGGGGAATCGTAGGGGGATCATGAATGGTAGGGGGATCATGAATGGAAGGGGGATCATGAATGGTAGGGGGATCATGAATGGTAGGGGGATCATGAATGGAAGGGGGATCATGAATGGTAGGGGGATCATGAATGGTAGGGGGATCATGAATGGAAGGGGGATCATGAATGGTAGGAGGATCATGAATGGAAGGGGGATCATGAATGGTAGGAGGATCATGAATGGAAGGGGGATCATGAATGGTAGGGGCCTGGGGCCTGGGAAGAGACAAGAATTACCTGAGACACAAGATTCACCTGAGAGACAAGATTCACCTGAGAGACAAGAATCACCTGAGAGACAAATTTCGCACGAGCGGCGAAAAAATCACCTGGGTGACAGCAGAGTGGGCGGTGGAGAAGGAGAGGTGAGCTGGCAGCAGCCCTGCCAGGTGCTCCATGGTGGCCGCTAGCACCGCCGCCAGGGGGTCGCTGGGGGGGGGAGGAGGGGTTGATTATGGGGTGGGGGTAAGGCAGAGGGTGGCTGGGGGGGGCACGGACATGCCGTGATGGTGCTGCATCGCTGGCAATGCGGGCACGCCAGCTGGCATCCCACCGCAAGTCAAACGCAGCCTCGAAGCCTTTAAGTGCAGACACATGCCGTAACACACAGACATGCACGAGCAGACGCACCGCAGGTCAGCGTGCATCTCCCGTCCGTTGCAAGTGACGCCGGTGGGCCAGTGCGGCTGCGCCAGCTGCACCGACAGCACCATGTCGGGCAGCGCCTTGGCGAGCAGCGATTGGTCGATGAGGATGGGATCGGATGCAAGGGCGAAGAAGAACACCGGCACGTCCAGCAGCGCGCGCTCGCCCCGCGTGCGCTTCACTGCCAGGCGAGGATGTTGGGGGAGGATAGGTAAGTTGGGGGAGGGGGGGGTGGAGGGAATAGACGGAGGCGAGCGAGGAGAGCAGAAAGAGTAGGTGCTGTAGAGGGATGAGGGAACAATGCGAGAGCCAAAAAGGCTCGGATAAACTTCAGTGTAGAGCGCCCAGTTGCCGTCCACTCATGCACTCGGGTGCGCTCCCATGATGATAGATGGAGCGTGGACGGGAGAGAGTGGGAGGAGAGGGAGGGGTGACGGGTGAGCAGGAGGGGTAACGGGTGAGCAGGAGGGGTAGCGGGTGAGCAGGAGGGGTAACGGGTGAGCAGGAGGGGTGACGGGTGAGCAGGAGGGGTAACGGGTGAGCAGGAGGGGTAGCGGGTGAGCAGGAGGGGTAACGGGTGAGCAGGAGGGGTAGCGGGTGAGCAGGAGGGGTAACGGGTGAGCAGGAGGGGTAACGGGTGAGCAGGAGAGTCCTTGCAGTGAAGGCGTCTTGGTGAGCAGCACAGCAGCCAGCAGCACGCATCATGGCACCCCCCTCTCATCGCCCTCGCTCACATCGGTGCAGGCTGTCGTCCCCCAGCGACCGCAGCTGGTGCTGCAGCACCCGCGAGTCCAGGTACAGCTGCACGCGCCCGCCCCCCGCACTGCCAGCAGAGTCGTTGCCCGCACCGGAGGCGGGCAGGAGGGGGTGTGCGGGCGAGACGGCGGCGCGCAGCGAGGAGGAGAAGGCCGTGGCGAGGGCGGCGTCCTCCGCCACTGACAGCCTGGCGGGGCGCACAGGGGGGAAGGCGGGGGGGGGGAGGTGGTGGTGGAGACAAGGTGGGTGGCAGGCGAAAGACATGCGTGAAGAGAGCGAGGGCGGAGAGCAAGTAGCACGCATCGTGCAACGCATCTTGAGAGCACTCTGGCAGCTCAATCTGGGGCACTGGCTTGACCACCATGACCTACCTAACGACCTCGCACGGCCTACAGACAGACCCACCTGTACGTGGTGAACTGGAAGTGCTGGCCCGGCAGGCTCAGCTTCTGCACCTCCGCCTTGAAGTCGTCCACGTACTGCGGGGTGTGGCGCCGCTCGTAGTAAGGCTGGGGGGCACCGCGAGGGGGGGATGACGGGGCAGTGGTGGCACGTGCAGGGTTGTGGTGGGGAATGGCGCTGTGCCAATCATGCCAACCAGCGCCACCTCTCCATCAAGCTCGCTCCAGCTGAAAACATGGCGCATGGCCCATGGCCCATGGCATGCCATGCCAACCATGCATATTATCCCATGGCATGCCATGGATACCATCCCATGCCATGCCATGCCATGCCATGCCAAGCCACATCACACCCAAAACCCCCACCTGGTGCGAGATGACGTAGAGGTGGAACGACACGCGCTCGTAGAAGTGGTACGCGCCAGCAGCCGTGGACGGCGTGATGACGTGGCGCATGGCGGACGACAGGCTGGCTGCCAGCTCAGCCATCAGCATGTCCCACGCCCTTGTCACCGCGGGGCTGCTGCCGCCCTCGTCCTCCTTGCCCGCATGCCTGTCGGGCGGCACCGATTGGAACTTCCAGCTGTGCAGCCGCTCCAGTGCCGCCCGCACGCTGGCCCCTGTGAGCATGCTGCCAGTGGCGGGCCTGCCGCCCTGCATGGCGAGGTGGTCCTTGGCGTCCTCCAGCTTCTGCAGCAGCTCTGCATGGCGGGTTGGGTTGTGGGCAGGGGAAGCGGGTGGGAGGGAAGGGAGGGAAGGGAAGGGAGGGAGGGAAGGGAGGGAAGGGAAGGGAAGGGAGGGGGGGGAAGGGAGGGGGGGGAAGGGAGGGGGGGGAAGGGAGGGGAGAGGGGTGTTCAGAGGAACCGGGGGGAGAGCTGGGGGGCACTGCTGTGCTTGCTCACTGCCCGCACGCACCCGCTGCTCTCACCAGCAGCACGCCCATGTGTGCACCAACCTAGCCCCGCCCAACTCAACCCAACCCAAGGCACCCACCTTGGCACAGCGCGCTCTTTGAGACCCGCCCTCTGCAATGGCGGTCAGCAAAGGCGTCATACACATCCATCTCCGCGAGCAGCACGTCCACCTCGTGCTGCGCATCCTCACCCACCTCCACCGCTTCCAACCGCTCCTCCGCCATGCGCGCCAGATGCCCCATCAGCTCGCCCTCCGACGCCTCTGCTGCACCCAGCCGAATGACATCCGAGCGAATCAACAAAAGAGAGGGAATGATGATAGAGCCGGGCCACAGCAAGTGCGCAGAGAGATGTCACATTGAAGGGAGTCACGGGGACCATTCAAGCATGCAAGCAGGAAAGAGGTGCATGCAAGCAGGAAAGAGGTGCATGCAAGCAGGAAAGAGGTGCATGCAAGCAGGAAAGAGGTGCATGCAAGCAGGAAAGAGGTGCATGGAATCAGAGAAGAGCTGTTGAGTGCCGCTCTGCTTTGAGTGCCGCCCTGCACGCCTTGCCATTGCCTCTGCCTGCATACCTTCCCTGCCCGCTTGCCTCTCACCAGTGGCGGCGTGGGAGATGGCATCGAAGTACCGGTCCACAGAGGGCAGGCTGGACTCCGACTTCACCCCCCACGCTGCACTAGCACCCACCCCCACCATGCTGCTGCTCCATGCGCTCTCCACCCCACTGCTACTGCCATTCACGCCTGCACTACCAGCACCAGCACCAGCACCAGCACCGCCAGCAGCAGCCCCTGCACCAGCAGCAGACCTCTTGGAACGTGCAGTGGGGGTGGCAGCAGCAGCAGCGGGCACAGAAGGGGGAGGGAGCGGGCCCCAGGAGAAGGGGCCAGCAGAGAGGTCGATGAGCGCCCACCTGGCAGGAAGGGTGAGCAGTGGAGGGAACAGGAGGGCGAGAGAGAAGGCCATGGGGGCAAGAGGGGCGAGTGGATTAGCTGTCACACGGATGGGTGGCGAGTACCCCGCTGTACTCTCTCCTCCCACGCCCCCTTCCCTACTCCACTCCTCATTCCTCCCGCTCCCCACTCTCGCTCCCTCACCCCTGCCCTTCTTCCCCCAGCCTCTCTCCCCCACCCGTGCCGCACTCACCTGCGGCTGCCAATCCACGTGTCAGTCAGGCACTGCTCATGCCAGCTGGCACCACCCCCGCCATCACTGCCATGCTCCCCCAGTGCGGTGCGCAGGGCGTGCGCGCGGCGGGGGTCGCCCGTGGTGAGCATCTGCTGCGCCTTGCGCGCCGCGTTGTCCCGCGCGTCTGACCGCTCGTTCACCACGCGGTCCAGCGAGCCGATGAGGGACGAGAAGCGCGACGCCCATGGCAGCTGGGCGCACACATTGGCACGCCCATGCAAGGCGTGGCGGGACAGGGGTTGAGGGTGGAGGCGAAGGGCGAGGAGGTGGGTGCATGAGAAGAGAGTGTGATGCTGCTGGCTTGAATGTGCGCACAATGTTAGGAAGGGCAGGGCAGATGGAGGAAAGGAATAGGAGCCCCTTACCACCGTCACATCCGCGAATGCAGCGCAACATAAATTTCCCAAACCGGGAGTCTCACAATCTCATGCGGCTGGATGTGGTGCCACGCCAGCTTGTGGCCCGGGCGCGAGGAGAAGAGCGGCTGCGGCACATGGCCCACATCTGACCGGGGGAGAAAGGGAGGTGGGGTTGGGAGAATGTGAAAAACAACACGATGCTGGCTGAACTCACAAGGCGAGAGGAGGACGAGGAAGGAGACGCGATGAGAGGAAGGAGACGCGATGAGATGAGAGGACAGAACTTCGAGGTTGAAGAAAGGGAGAGGGAAGGACGAGCCGAGGGCACGGCTGGAGGCAGAGGAGTATACGGGCTGACTCAAAACGGTGCAGCGCGCGAGTGAGAGCAGCACGCGAGTGAGAGCAGCGCACCAGTGAGAGCAGCGTGCGAGTGAGAGCAGTGCAGGGAAGGAGACGATCAGGGCATGGTGGAATGACGCACTGAAGGGTGCAACCCACTCACCCCGCACCCTATAAAGGGTACAGCCCACTCACCCAGCACCCTAAAAATGGTACAACCCACTCACCCAGTGTTATAATATTCTCCCTTCATTCTATTAGCCTACATCGTTTCATTGTCTTAGGTACTTTATAAGCACCCCACTAGGGTGTATACATCCAAGTTGGGGGTTGGGCTCCCAACCTTGTTGGGTTCCCAAATTGGTTGGGCTCCCAATTATTGGAACCCCCAATAATCCCAACCAAGATTATTGGACCCACCAATAATCTTGGCTAGGATTATTGGACCTCCAATAAGTTGGCCAACTCAACTTATTGGGGTCACCAATAATCGTGGTCACCTCCCAACCAAACCCCCCCTCCTACTCCTCACCTATGTATACCCATTCCTTTCCTAATACAATCATCACTTCAGTTTCTCACATGGTTTCAGAGCTTATGGCTCACGCCTCCTCGTTCGATCCCTAGCCACCTCGCGCCCAACGCGTCTCTCCCCGCGCCCTTAAGCGCCCCTCTCCGCGCCTTTAAGCGCCCCTCCCTGCGCCCTTAAGCGCCCCTCCCCGCGCTCTTATGCGCCCCTCCCCGCGCCCTTAAGCGCCTCTCCTCACACCCTTAGTCGCTGCGTTTTCGCGCTGCGCTCCCGCCGCATTTCAACACGGCGCTCGGCCGCATTCCGACGCGGCACTCCTGCCACATTTAGACGCGGCGCTCCTGCCGCATTTCGACGCGGCGCTCCTGCCGCATTTCGACGCGGCGCTCGGCCGCATTTCGACGCGGCGCTCCTACCGCATTTCGACGCGGCGCTCCGCCGCATTTCGACACGGCGCTCCTGCCGCATTTCGACACAGCGCTCGGCCGCATTTCGACGCGGCGCTTGACCGCATTTCGGCGCGCCGTTCCGCCGCAATTCGACGCGGCGCTCCCGCACCATCTTGACGAGGACCTCCCGCCATATTTCGACACGCCTTCTCCTCCGCATTCCGTCGCCTCCTCCCCCTTTGTGCAGTCCCCGCGCCCCGGCCTAACAAGCGGGATTCAGCCGGGCTGACCTCTGTGCCGGCGCGCACCGCACGCAATTGCCGGCAGCGTCCAAATCGCCACCATCTGCGCCGGCCGTCGCCTTTCGCATCGGCGCCCGAAGAAGGCTTCGCGTCGCGCAGCTCGTTAACTTAAGAGCTGCGCTCCGCGCACCCGTCTTTATCCTCCTCCCCCTTCCTCCCTCCCTTCCTCACCTCCCCCTCTCCCCCCCCCTCCCCCCCCCCCCCCTCCTCCTCTCCTCCTTCCCCACCAACAGCAGCATCCGCATCCTTCCCCAATCAGCCGCAGTAGCCGCCTATGTTGGCATAAACGCGTTTCCGCGTTTTTGCGTTTCGTTCTGAACGCAAGCGTTCAGGGCGCAAAACGCAGGATTCCAAGCTTCAAATACGCTCGGAAAACGCCTGCCCGGGCAGGCGGAAAAATTAGCCCGGGCAGCGGACGCCATGCTAGGAGCTGGAAGTCGGGTAGCTTAGGTGCTGGAAGGAAGAACGTACGAGTACTAGATCGTCAGTGCATGTGAGGTGAGCGAAGATCTCCTCTACAGATAGATCTGGATCAAGCAGGGGGGAATGGTTCGGAATTTTCAACAAAATTGGGAAGAGGGAAGGAGGGACTGACGAGTTTTCGTGTCTCTATGAAAAGTTTAGAGACTGCAGGACGACGAATTTGCGACGCGCGAAACGTGGTGTCGTTCCGCGACGCGCGGCGAAATGTGTTTTCGACTCGTGACTTTGCGGGTTTTTTTGTGCGTTTTTTTTGTTCCGGTCTGCCCGAAAAAAATCAAGGTGCGTTCGAGCGTTCTGACACGTTTTTGCGTATTGCGTTTAAACGATTGCGTTTAAACGCAAAACGCAAACTCACAAAAGCGTTTTTGTCAACACTGGTAGCCGCATCAACAGCCGCAACCGCACCCTCCACCGCCCTTCACCTCCTCCCCACTCCCCTCATCAACCGCAGCAGCCACATCTCCCCCCTCCACCTCCTCCTACTCCGCTTCCTCCCCCCACCAGCAGCAGCAGCCTCCTCATCTGTAGCAGCCATCAGCAGCCGTATTTCTCCCCCTCCCCTCCCTCCTCCTTCTCCCCTCTCCCCTAATCCCCAACAACAACAGCAGCAGCACCCGCAATTGCACCATGACCACCGAAGCACTCGCCGTCGGCATCTCCACCATCGACGCCCTCGAGCTCATCGACAACGCCGGCCCTGTAAACTGGGCTACCTTTGCCCAGAGCCTTACCAATGTCCTCGGATCCGTAATCATTAACGAATACTGCCTCCTCGACATTCTCCTTGGCTCTGACGCAGGGCAGCCCCCAGAGCGTCCTGCTGATGTCTCCCCTGCACCTCAAGCTCCACCTCCGACCCCCACCAAGCCCTCCCCGCTGGTCTACACCGACGACCCTGATCGCTGGGCTCGCGTGCAGCACCAATATGACAAGGACTTTGCGGAGTACACTCTCCTCTAGCACGCGTATGACGCAGAGCAAGCTGCGCACGACGCTGCCAAAACACTTCTCCAGCAGCACAAGGACGCCAAGGCTAAGTATGCTGACGACTTTCGTGAGTACCGTCGTCGCCACTCTGCCTGGAACGTTGCCACCCGCAAATGTCTCGCTATCCTGTCTGCATGTGTTCCTTCCTCCCTCAAACGCGAAATTACCCCCTCCTCCGCTCCCGAGTTCTGGAAAGAGCTATGTGCCACCTTTGACCTCCAGGACACCAACTCTCTCCTAGCGCTCCACCGCGCCTTCCTCGACATCAACCTCGACTCCTTCCCCAACGCCCTCTCCTTCACGCGCCGCCTCCTCACCACTGCCAAACACCTTGCTGATCGTCGCTCTCCCCTTCCCGACTCCCTCATCGTTTGCCGCCTCCTCGACGGCCTCACACCCATGTACGATGCCCGTCGCGTGGCGTTCAATGAGGTCCACGCCAGCTTCCCACCCGACTCCGCCTATGTAGCCGCATGGATTCTGAAAACTGAAGCGGAGCTTCTCCGCCAGTCTCCTCCGACGGCTCATGCTACCCAAGCAAAAGGAGGACGTGGTGCTGGCCGTGGCGGTACTTCGGCCGGACGATCGGGTGGTGGACGTGGCGGGGGGCGCAGTGGAGGACACGGGGGTAGCAGTGGTTCCAGCAGCACCGGCGGCTTCCCCCCGTGTCAGTATCTCATCCGCAACGGCCCCAACAAGGGTAAGCGCTGCCTCCAAACCACCCATGCCTCCACCACATGCTTCAAGGCCCTCACAGATGAGTGGCTTGATCGAGGCAACACGGGCACGCCCACTCGTTGGTCCGCTATCACTCCACCTCCCACTCCCTTTGATGTTCGTACCCTCCCCGCCTATCAGCCCTCCTCTACCTCTCTCCACCACATCCTCGCACAGCACCTCCCTCCACAGATCCTCCAGCAGGTCACGCCCCTCCTTCCGTCCCCACAGCCGCAGCAGACTCAGCAGCCGCAGCAGTCCCAGCAGCAGCCGCAGCACCTCCTGCAGCAGCTCCTCCAGCAGCTGCAACAGTCTCAGCAGCTCAAGCACTCTCAACAGCAACCCTCCCCTCCCTCCGCCTGGAGCTCCGGCCTCTCTGCTCCTGCTACTCCTGCGCAGGCCCCCACCGGACCTCTTGGCTTGACCCCATTTCCCTCTCCTGGCTTCATCAACCATGTTAGCCATGCTTCTCCTGCTATTCCTCCAATGTATCCCGAGTCTATTAATGAAACCTCCTTCCAGTACTCCGTGTCTCACCCCACCCCTCCTTCCATTGAGTTTGTCATCGACAGCGGCGCCAGCGTCACAGTCCTTCGTGACGCTGGTGCCCTCACCCCCCTCCCTGACCCCTCCACCATCATTGGAGCCGATTCTACTTTCTCGGTCACCTCCCGCCATACCTCCACTCTTCCCTCCCCCCTCTTCCCCTCAGGTTCAGTCACTGGCTTCCATGTCCCCTCCCTTCGCACTAACCTCGTCTCCCACGGTGCACTTCAACGGGCCGGGGTCACAACAATATACACCGGCCACGCCACCCACTGTGATCTATTTCACTCATCCACGGGTCATTTCATCGTCCGTGTTCCCATGTGTCCTCGCACTTGCATGTACACCCTTCACACTCCTCGTCCGTCAGCCTGTCACATTGCCTCCACCATCCCTCCCCTCCCCCCTCCCCTCTTTCCTCCGCAACCTTCCCCCAACTCCCCTCCCGCCCCTCCTACCCCCCCCCCATCTCGGTGCCATTGTCGTGATCTTACACATCATGCCATCCTCCTCCACCACTGCCTAGGGCACCCCAACTTTGCCACCCTCCACAAGGCCGTCGCCTCCGGGCTCCTCAATGGTCTTCCCCTCACTCTCCCCCCACTCCCTCCCTCCCTCGCCCCCCCTTGCACCATCTGTGTCCAGAGCAAGCTCAAGCAGCTTCCTCATAAAAGTCACCCTTCCTGCGCCCCAGAGCTCCTGGATCTTCTCCACATGGATCTCTGGGGCTCCAACCCCTCCCCCACCCGTCAAGGGCACCGCTACCTCCTCGTCCTAGTCGATGACCGCTCACGATACACCTCGGTCTCCCTCCTTCGCACGAAGGCCGAGGCACCGGCCTTCATCATCGCCTGGGCTGAGCAGGCGCGCACCCACTTCGGTCCTCCTGTTCGCCGCTTCCATTCCGATGGCGGCGGTGAATTCCTCAATCACCATCTCGCTTCTTATTTCTCCACCCATGGTATTCACCACACTTACACCCTCCCTCACTCCCCCCAGCAGAATGGTGTGGCAGAAGCTCGTGTTCGAGAAGTTACAAAGACCGCCAGGTGTCTTCTCGTTCACGCCTCCTGCCCGCCTTCTCTCTGGGGTTATGCTCTTCTCCACGCTGTCCTCCTCACTAACCTCTATCCCCACCCTCTCCTCCCCTCCACCACCCCCACTGAGCTGTGGACGTCAACTAAACCCGACGTCTCCCCCCTGCGCGTCTGGGGTTCCAGGGCGTATGTTCTCATACACCCGGCCGACCGCTCACGCACAGCAGGGAAGCTCGCCTCCAAGAGTCTACTCTGTGTATTCCTTGGTCACAACACCTCCTCCCCAGACTACCTCTTCCTTCATCCCCCCTCAGGTCGCCTCATTCGTAGTCGGGACGTCATCTTTGACGAATCCTCCCCGTACTACACCTCCCTTGCCTCACCTGACCCACTCACCATTCCTCCTCGCCCCCTCATCCCCTCTGACACTGTCACCCCCCCCCTCCTCCCTCCTCTCCCTCTTATTCCCCCACCCCCAGCACCTCCTCCTCTCGAATCTGCTCCCTCCTCACCTTCCTCAGGTGACATCCTTGACCCAGTACTCCCCCCCTCTCCCTCTCACTCCGCTTTCGCTCCATCCTCCCCCTTCTCCCCACCTCCTCCCCCTCCACCTCCTCCCCCTCCACCTCCTTCCCCCACTCCCCCCCCCCTCCTCCCCCACCTCCCCCACCTCCTCCTTCACCCCCCCAGGTGTCTTCTCCCCTTATCCTTCGCCACCGCCCTCATACTCGGTCCATGGATCCCCTCTTTGGTCCACCCTTAGCCCCTCCCTCCCCTCAGGCAAAGGCACCCGCTCCAGCACCCGCTCCAGCACCCTCTACTTCCACATCCGCACCCGCCGCAGCAACTCCCGCCACCGCACCATTGCCTGCCCCGGTCGCCACACCCGCAGCGTCAGGATCCGCCGCAGCAGTTGCCCCGGTCCAGCAGCCGTGCAGCCGAGTTGCAGAGCAGTGTCGCAGCCTCCCCCCTCAGCAGCGCAGCAGACTTACAACACCACCCTCCCTTCCTCCTCCTTTCTCTCCCCTCCTCATCAAAGACTCCCATGGTGAATTTCTTGGCCTTCATGTCTTCTCCAACACCCAAGCAGTCGCCTTCAGCATGACAGGCGCCCCGGTACTTGTCTTCTCCGGTGCGCCCATCATCTTTGAGCCGGGAGATTATTACGAAGCTATGACGTGCCCCGACCACCCTCATTGGGGCAAGACAGTCCTCAAAGAGAATGAGGCCTTTGTCCGCAACGGCACCTTCATCGACGTACCCCGCCCTCTCAACCACAACATGGTCAAGGGCAAATGGGTATTTCGGGTCAAGCTTCTCCCTAGCGACGACCCGGTCTATAAGGCCCGCTACAGCGCCAAAGGATTCACGCAGCGGTACGGCAATGACTTCCTTGACACCTACTCGCCGACCGCCACTCCCCCAGTCGTCCGCGTGTTTCTAGCCTTCGTCGGCCGGCGCGGCATGATTCTGCACTCGATGGATGTCACCACGGCATTTCTCCAAGGTGAACTCCATGAGCGCATCTTCATGGAGCGTCCCGAGGGCTGGCACCTCCCTTTCCCTCCCAGCACCGTTTGGGAACTTCGCCGCCCGGTTTACGGCCTCAAGCAGGCTCCTCGGGAATGGCATGCCAAGCACTCCAGCACTCTCCGTGCTCTTGGTTTTCGCCCTTCCCAGGCTTCCTCCTGCCTCTTCCTGCGCACCTCCCCCTCTCCCTTCTACATCCTCGTCTACGTCGACGACATGCTTCTTGCCGCTGACAACGAAGCAGACCTCCAACAGGTCAAGGATGAGCTGCAGAAGCGCCTCCTCTGCAAGGACCTGGGGGAAGTCCGCCACTACCTCGGGATGGAGATTTCTCGCGATCGTGCGGCCAAGACCATCTCTTTCTCTCAGGCATTCTACCTCGAGAAGGTCCTTGAACGCTTCGAGATGGCCACGGCCAAACCTGTCTCCACACCCCTCCAAGTCGGCCACAAGCTCTCGCCGACATCCACCCACGGTCCCTCCACCAGTCCTTACGCTGAGCTGGTCGGGTCCCTGATGTACGCCATGATGTGCACCCGCCCCGACCTCGCCTACCCTATCAGTGTCCTGGCGCGCTTTGTCGGCACCGGCAAACACACTCCCGAGCACTGGCAAGCGGCTAAGCGCGTTCTTCGCTACATCAAAGGCACCAAGGACTATGTCCTCACCTTGGGTGGCCCCACCCCTCCTCAGCTCACAGGCTACAGCGACTCCTCTTGGGCGGATTCTCAGCCCGATCGTCGCAGCTCACAGGGGTATGGTTTCTCCCTCGGGAGCGGCCTCATTTCCTGGCGCTCCACCCGCTCCTCCTCGATCGCTCTCTCCTCCTTCAAAGCAGAGCTCTACGCCGTCACCATGGCGGCCCAGGAGGCGCGGTGGCTCAGCTTCTTCCTCGTTGAACTGGATGCTCCCCAGCCCTGTCCCACCATCTGGTGCGACAATGCCAGAACTATCCACCCCACGAAGGAGGCCGTTTTCCATGGTCGCTCCAAACACATCGAGCTTCGCCACTACTTCGTTCGTGAGCTCGTACAGGCTGGACACCTCACCGTCCGCAAGATTGACTCTTCAGCCAACCTTGCAGACATCTTCACCAAGGCCCTCCCTCGCCGTCCCCATGCGGCTCTCCTTCGCCTTCTGGGTCTTGCCCCTCCCTCACAGGGGAATACCTGATTCAGGGGTTGCTTCTCCTCACCTTCCCAAGACTTATGACACTCTGTAGGCTAAGGGGTTGTGTTAGAATATTCTCCCTTCATTCTATTAGCCTACATCGTTTCATTGTCTTAGGTACTTTATAAGCACCCCACTAGGGTGTATACACCCAAGTTGGGGGTTGGGCTCCCAACCTTGTTGGGTTCCCAAATTGGTTGGGCTCCCAATTATTGGAACCCCCAATAATCCCAACCAAGATTATTGGACCCACCAATAATCTTGGCTAGGATTATTGGACCTCCAATAAGTTGGCCAACTCAACTTATTGGGGTCACCAATAATCGTGGTCACCTCCCAACCAAACCCCCCCTCCTACTCCTCACCTATGTATACCCATTCCTTTCCTAATACAATCATCACTTCAGTTTCTCACACCCGGCACTCTAAAAATCGTACAACCCACTCACCCAGCACTCTAAAAATGGTACAACCCACTCACTCAGCACTCTAAAAATGGTACAACCCACTCACCCAGCACTCTAAAAATGGTACAACCCACTCACCCAGCACCCTATAAAGGGTACAACCCACTCACCCAGCACCCTATAAAGGGTACAACCCACTCACCCAGCACCCTATAAAGGGTACAACCCACTCACCCAGCACCCTATAAAGGGTACAACCCACTCACCCAGCACCCTATAAAGGGTACAACCCACTCACCCAGCACCCTATAAAGGGTACAACCCACTCACCCAGCACCTGCGGCACTTTCTCCAGGCCTGGTGACAGCAGGTGCTGCCGCCTCCGGTCGTCCTGCCAGGAGGGGCAGAGTGGAGGGGCAGAGTGGAGGGGCAAAGTGGAGGGGCAGAGTGGAGGGGCAGAGTGGCGGGGCAGAGTGGCGCAGTTCCGTGGAAAAGGAAGGGTGGTGGGAGGGGGGGGTTGGGCAGGAAGGCAAAGGGGAGTTATGAGGGGTTGGGGTGAAGGAAGGGGGCGGGAGAGGAGCAGAGGGAGGGAAGGGAAGGGAAGGGAAGGGAAGGGAAGGGTGCATACCGCCTGGAGCATGTTGAACTCCGCAGTGGACAGACCGAGCCTGGGAGGGGGCAGCAGGATGCAGAGGCCCAATGAGTATGACGAACATTTTCATGCATCATGCCTCGCCTGTATCCACACCGCAAGCCATGCCATCACATCAACACCATGCCATCACATCACCACCATGCCATCACATCAGCACCACGCCATCACATCACCACCATGCCATCACATCACCACCATGCCATCACATCAGCACCACGCCATCACATCACCACCATGCCATCACATCACCACCATGCCATCACATCACCACCATGCCATCACATCACCATGCACAACCTGTCGAAACACCGACAACCATACCTGTAGCCGTATCGGCGCCTCGTGCGAGCGTGGTTCAGATTAAGCACAATGATGTTGTACGCCACGGCATCGAGCTGCAGCGAGTCCAGCAGGTTGTCCACCACGTGCGCCATGCCCTCCATGTCCACCTGGTACAGGGGGGGCTGTGCTGATGACGATGACAACGACGATGAGGAGGAGGGGTGGGGGTGCGCGGTGGCATCGGGCGGGTCGTCGTCGTCGTCCAGGTGGGCGGGGGCAGCGGTGGGGTCGTCGAGGCGGGAGAGCGCCCTGACAGCAGACTCGAAGACGGCGCCCATGCGCTCGCCCATCTCCATCACGTGGATCGTGTAGCTGGGGGGGGGGGGGGGGGCGGGCATGGTGTGATGGCAATCGACAGTGAGAAACGAAGTGGGTGTGGCGGAAGGAGAGAGCAACAACGAGACCCAACTGAACTGGACCCAACTGAACCGGACCCAACTGAACCGGACCCAACTGAACTGGACCACGCAGCGCGACACGGGTTGGCTCCGCCGAGCCCCAGAAGCCGTCATTTCAGCACACGGTGTAACGCCTACTCACTTGTAATGCACGTTGCTGATCAACGGCAGATCATGCTCCAATGCCGCCCCCTCTGCCTCCACCTCCTCCTCCTCCTCGTCATCCTCATCGCCCACCACGACTCTCCCCCCCACGGCCCCGCGCGCCCCCATGGCGTGTGCCAGGCGTGTGACGTGCGTGTGCCAGTTGAGCGGTGAGCGCGTGTGCTCCTCCACGTGGTCCATGTGCTCCAGCCACCGCCGCATGTCCGCCTCACGCATGCTGATGCCTGCACGCATGTACCCACGCACCCATGCACCCATGCACCCATACATGCACCCATGCACGCATGCACCCATGCACCCATACATGCACCCATGCACGCATGCATGCACCCATGGACCCATGCACGCATGCACCCATGCACCCATACATGCACCCATGCACGCATGCACCCATGCACCCATACATGCACCCATGCACGCATGCATACACCCATGCACCCATGCACCCATGCACTCATGCATGCACCCATGCACCCATGCACGCATGTACCCATGCACCCATGCACCCATGCACGCATGTACCCATGCACCCATGCGCACATGCACCCATGCACCCACCCATGCACCCATGTGCACATGCACCCATGCACCCATGCCCTCATGCCTTCATGCCCACATACACCCACCCACATACACCCGCGCACCCATGCACATGTGTGTGGGGACAGAGGAATGCTCGTGTCAACGTGTGAACGCCCATGTGCCACAGCCACCGCTGCATGTCAGCCTCACGCGTGCTGATGCTTGCACCCATGCTCGTGCAATGGGTTGCACAGATATGCGCCAAGGGATGCTGCTAATTATACCATGAGACTGGAGCCGGTCCAGCCTAGGGAAATGAGATGCATGCCCTAAACGTGGTCGCCACCCACCCTGGTCGCCACCCACCCTGGTCGCCACCCACCCTGGTTGTCACCCACCCTGGTTGCCACCCACCCTGGTTGCCGGTGCCATTGAATCCGATGAAGATGAGGTTGACGGGGATGGGCACGTGGATGGCGTGCACTGGCCGCACCCCCAGATACGACGCCAGGTTGCCTGCCACCACCGTTGACCATGGGGTCAAACGCGGACAGGAAGGGCTTGGGTAAGTGGGGTTGGGTGGGCGTGGATGGGGGCACTGCTACAAGGGGTACTAGGTGCAGGGAGGTGGCATGTGCAGGGATGAGTGCATTGGCTGTGGGCAGGCAAGCTAACGAGTGGAGGATGCACCTTGCTTCACGTAGTGGTCCACCTCGTTGTACCCGTTATAGAACTTGTTGGGGTGCTTCAAGTCATCTAGTGCTGCAGGCATACAGGGCAGCACGATGAGGCAAGTTGGTTGGTGGGGGAGAGAGGTGGGGCAGGCAGGGGGAGACGGGAGATGGGCATAAGGCGAGCGGGAGGAGCAGAGGAAGATGGGGCTCGGGGAAAGAGGGAGAGGCAGATGAGGGACGCGAATGGGACAAGAGTTGGGCAGACGGGTGGGCTGGCGCGCAAGGATGGAAGCGAGGGGATGGGTGGCGCATGAATGGGAGGCAAGGAAGCGTTGGAGTGACGCATGAAAGCACACGAGCTCGTGGTGACGCATGAAAGCACACGAGCTCGTGGTGACGCATGAAAGCACACGAGCTCGTGGTGACGCATGAAAGCACACGAGCTCGTGGTGAGGCATGCGTGGGCGTCGCACGGGGAAACGAGCACGCGGAAAGGACGAGCAACGAGCGTGGTGAGGGCGATGAGCTCCGTCAGAGCCTACACTGCAGCAGCAAGTCATCGCCTGACAGCTGGCCCTCGTCCTTCGCGTCGAACATCGCGAACATCTCGCCCTTGAGATTGCCGGTGCGCGCCGCCCGCACCTGCAACCAGCGATCGCGTAGCGTGAATCACGGCGACATTAGGGGAAACGGCGATGTGAGCTTGTCGACAGCGGTGGTCGAAGACGGGAGTGATTATAGCGGAGGATCAACACACGCACAATGGGGGTACCAAGCGAAACGAGATGTACTTGTGAAACAACAGAATAAAGGGCTCACCTGAACTCCCGCGTGCCATGCGCCCGAGACAAGCACTGACACTAGGAGCCCGAGCTGACCTAATCCGTTTCCAGATTTCCGAAACCCTAATGTCCCCATCGTGTGTGGTCTGCGCAAGTCACAGCGACGACGCCTCTATGTTGCGCGCATCATGCGGCGTCTATTCTGATCGCTGCAACCTACTAGTTGCACGGAACCAAGTGCGTGGTGTGTCCTGCCAAATCCACGTTCACAGAGCGTCCGCGCTATAAGGCGCCAGAATGCGCGAAAGTAACAACTCAAGCAATGTTAGTACACCGAAGCATTCGATAGGCTCGCTCGATTAGTGCAAGAACAATGTGTGGGGTGCTCAATGTACAAAGTACTGTAACATTTTCGGACATGAACATTATTGAGCACCCCGCACAGTAAATCTCGAGGTTCGTTCACTTCACATCACATGCTTTTGCCTGTCGCGCTACGAAAAAAGCATTCGCAAAAGGACAAGCTTTCCAATTGGTACCCTGTCCAAGTGTCACGTTTCTTGGGCTTCCTTCTTTTCCGCGTGCCCAATTACACCACTTTCAGCGGAATCGCAACCTCCTCCCACACTCGCGGAGATCGCAACTTAGGCAATTGTGCAGTTTCGCTGTCGGCGACTGTATGCGATTCTTTGGGCAACGATGGACGACTAAATTTGAAACGACCATTTGTCGCACAGCGCAGTTCTTTGACCACTGGTCGTCGCGCAATACCCTGCTCCTGCTGCTTTTTCCGCCTCTCCGCAACTCCTCCTGCCTGACATGCCCTCTGGCTCTCACATGCCATACACAGCTGGTTGGCGGAAAACCTGGGATAGGATAGGACGGGGCGAAACGGAAAACACCTGCTCTGCTCATTGCTGCCAAGCTCCAAGACCCTGCAGGCAGCTTGACTCCATGGAGACTGGATGGAGTCCAGTCTGGCCAGGCAATCAGCTGATCTGCAGCGCACTGTGCACTGGTCTAGAGTCTAGACCAGATGAGCACACACCCCCCAGAACAAGCCTCCCCGCCGGGCAGCACAAGGCTGTTGAGTTGAGCCTCCATCTCCATGACGCCTGCCCTTCACGGAGCTCATTTTCGCCCGCAAGGGACGCATGACATAGATCGCAACGTTTTAGGTCCAGGAAGAAGCGCCGCCGTGGCCTACGAAATGATGGCTACCATCCCTCAAGAGCATGCCCCGCCGTTCAATCCGGACGACGCGCGCACCGCCTTCCATCGCCGGAGCGTGTCTCTCGCGACGGCCACCGCGCATCTGCGAGATGCGAACCAGGCGTGGTCGTCGCCCACCCTTTTCGCTCCCCCACAGCGCACGCCGCTGCCCGATCTCCCGCCTTTGTTAGAAATTTGCGGCAACGACGGAGCCGCAGCGCAGGTTGCTGACGCGGCGCAGCGGAGAGATGCGTCGGGAGAGCAAATGGCCAACGTGGCACTGTCAGACGCCGTCGCTAATGGCCAGCTTCGTGGTGAAGAGGTGCCAGGCATGCGGCCGTTAGGGCGAACCCGCTCTCAGGCCATCGGACCCACTTACCCCAAACCGCGTGCGACCCTAATCGCGTCGCCTTCTCAGCGCTTCGCGCCGCACGCGTTCTCGGCGAGCTTGAAATCGAAGACAAACGAGCACGCGGCGCGCATCAGGAACATGATGCTGAAAGAGAGTCTCGAGCCCTCGGAGCCGGCTCTGGTGCCGCCCTCGACGGAGCACCCCGCGGCTGCACTCGACGACTCCGACAACCCGCGCGCACCGCCGGAGAGACCGCTCCTAAACTCTCCGCTGCGGCAGCAGCAGCGGGATTTAAGCGGCGAAACATCGGTGGAAGCAACGGTTACGGCGGGGGTTCACAGGCGGGGGGGTAGCAACCAGTGGACGGGGCTGGCGGCGCATTCTCCGCACCCCCCGCCTGCGAGCGCGCTGAGTCGGCGCGGCAGCATCACCAGCAGCCACGCCCGAGACAGCAGTTACGGCAGCGGCATTAGTGGCTTCAGCGGTATTAGCTTCAGCGGCAGTAGCGCTAGCAGCGTCGGCACGAGCGGCGCGCATAGCGGCATGAGCAGCAACGCGGGGCTGCCGGCGGTAGCAGGCATCGCGCCAATCACCGCTCCCCCCGTCTCCCCGGGTCTACACTCCGCCGATCCTATCGCTGTCTGCACCGCTGCTACGGGTAGGGTAGCGCCAGTCACACTCGAGTTACCGGCTTCGCCTGCGTCGTCAGCGTCGCCGGCGTGGTCGCCTGCGCCAGTGTCGCCGGACGACAGGGGGTTCTTCCCTACCATTCGCAGGGCGATCTCTCTCGCCGTGCCGCGTGCCAGGCCGCCGCAGCCGCAGCAGCCGCCATTGCCACAAGGCCATCCCGTGCTCCAGATACCACCGAGAATTAATCCCCTCCTTGCCCCATCGAATACTGAACCGTCACCTTCGTCTCGTGACGTGGCTCTATCCCATTCGTCAGCGCAGCAGAGAATCGAAACCGCGGTTTGCCCCAGATGCGGGCACACGATGGCTCCCCCCTCTTCCGAGGGCGGGCGGGGGTCCGCGCAGGATGCGGAGGGGCGGAAGGTCCGGCGGCGCGTGCCGGCCGCAGCGGTGGAAGCGGCGGCGATGGCGGCTAAAGCTGCGCAAGCCGCCGCGACGGCCGCAGAGGCGGCTGCCGCCGCCGCTAAGGAGGCCGCCAACGCCGCCGCCGCTGCCGCCGCAGCGATCGCGGAGGAAACAGACAGTGACTGTTGGGAGAGTGACTGTACGGGGGAAGACCCGGGGAAGGGCGCCGTAGGAGGCGCCGGATGGGTCAGGGGAGCGGGCGACGAGGCGGCAGTGACAGTTGAGGCTAGAGGGTCGTCTGGCGGCCACGGGCAGGCGGAGGGGAGAGGCGGGGAGGACACGCGGTGTGAGGCGGTAGAGTGCGGGGAAGGCGGTGCGATGGGCGCGGGGGAAGGGGAAAGAGCGGCGGAAGAAAGCGCAGAGGCAGCGCGGGCGGAAGCAGAGGAAGGAGCAGGGGCAGACCCAAGGGGGGGAAGTGAGACGGCTGCGGGGGGGTATGGGGAGCCAGGGGGTGATGAGGCGGAGGCAGGGGCAGGAGGAGAAACAGGCGCAGGGGCGGGGGGACGGGGGCAGAGGGCGCAAGGCAAATACAAGCAAAGGTCGCCCCGGCCTGTGACTGTAGCGAGGAGAGGTTTTCGTGCTGCGCTCTCGGCGCAGTCGTCCCCCAGCGCGAGCAGCAGCGCGGCCAGTGAGGACGCGGGGGCGAGGGGACGGCGCGAGGGCGCGGGGGAGGCGAGGGAGGAGGAAGGGGCGCGGGAAGGCATGTCGCCGGGGCATGCGGCGCGGCTGTCTCCGTCGCCCCACTCGCCCCAGACGCACGAGCCCTCGCGCCTGTCGCCCTCTGCGCGATCGCCGCATGCCACGTCTCCACGGGCTGCGGTGGCGGCAGCAGTGGGTGTGTCGCCGCGAGCAGGCGTGGGGGCCCGCGCGGACTCGCCGTCGCCCTCGCCCTCGCATGGTGCGCACTACCCGGGCGCCCGCCACAGCAGCGGCGACGACGAGCGCTGCCACGACCACGAGCACAGCACGTATGGTGGTGCTTCGCCCTCCGGGGCCATTCATCCCCCCGCCCAGCACGGGCAGCACGGGCAGCCTGCTTGGCAGCCTGCTTGGCAGCCTGCGGGGCAGCCGGCGGGGCTGCCCGTGAGCCCGTCCCTGGAGGCGTACCTCACAGACGGGCGCGACGAGGCAGGGAGTGCCGCACAGGACGGCTGCCATGAGGCGCGCGGTGACGGCTGCCAGGACCGGGAGGGCCCTGACACCTGCCATGAGGGGCACGCGGACGACACGGACAACATGGGAGGCGTGGGAGGCGTGGGAGAGATGGGGGGCATGGAGGAGGGGCTTGCGGATGGCATCAGCGGCAGCCCTCTCGCTACATCCAGCAGGCCTCCTAAGTCGCCCAAGCCGGAGCCTGCACTGTCGCCCCACACTGCGCTGTCGCCGCACACTGCGCGGGGTAGGGGAGGGGAGCGGGCAGGGGGGGAGAGGGCGCGGGAGGAGGAGGGGCGCGAGGGGGGCGGGGAGCAACGCAGGCGGCAGGCGCGAGCACGCCAGGCGCCTCTGAGGTCGCCGCGGTCGCCGCGAACACGAGCGGTGAGGGACGGTGCGTGGCGGTGCAAGTCCATGCAGGACGTTGCTGGACGATCCGCCAGCAGCGTCAGCGGTGGCGTTGGCGCCGCTGCTGGCAGTGGCAGCGGCGGCGGTGGTGCTGTGCCCGCTAGACCCGCCTCGCGCACGCGGTCCTTCCGACAGCCGTCGCCGCGCGGGGCGCACAAGGGAGCAGCAGGGGGGGGTGGGGGCGCAGGGGGAACTGGGGCGGGGGGGAGAGTGCTGCGCAAGGCGGGGTCAGAGTCAGAGGCGCGGGAGGGAGGTGGGGGGAGCAGACGAGAGACGGGCGGCAGGAGCGGCGGCGGGCAGGCGTCCCCGTCGCCCAGGGCGCGCTCCAAGTCGCCAGCGGAGGGACCGCGGTCGCCACGCGCAGCAGGCAGGTCGCCGCGCCCAAGGCTACCGTCCCCCACGACAGGGCTGGTGGGCGGGGAGGTAGGCGCGGGGGGGAGGAGCAGGCAGCCGCGCAAGGTGAGCAGCTGGGGCGGGCCTGGCGGGGCAGAGGGCGGGGCAGGGGGAGAGGGGGAGGGGGAGGGGGAGGCGGAGGTGGAGGAAACAGGGCGAGGCTCGGGAGCGGAGAGAGGGAGAGCGGGGCGGGGAATCTCGCAGGGCGGTAGGGGCCAGGGGGGCTCGTCGTCCTTCTCGTCGGGGTCGCGGCGCGTGACGGACTTCATCCTGGGGCGGCCGTACCGCGACGTGGGCGAGGCGTACGAGGTGGGCGGCGAGCAGCTGGGCGTGGGGCAGTTCGGCGTGATCCGCGCGTGCGTGAGCCGCAGCACGGGGCAGGCGATGGCGTGCAAGGCCATCAGCAAGGCGCGCATCGAGGTGCAGGAGGACGCGGAGGACGTGGCGAAGGAGGTGCGCGTGCTGCAACAGCTGCGGGGCCACCCCTGCATCGTCAAGATCCAACGCGCCCTGGAGGACACCCAGGTGCGCGGGGCAGTGAGGCGAGGAGGGCAGTATGGTGTGGGACGCAGTGAGCTGGCCACAGGTTGTTGCAATGCCATATTTCCTTCGATTCCCTCCTCCCTGCACGAATTTTCCTCCCTCTGCTCCCCCGCTCCCCCTTCCTGCTCGCAGCACGTGCACATCATCATGGAGATCTGTCGGGGCGGCGATCTGTTTGACCGCATCAAGGCGGGCGGCAGGCTGAGCGAGCGCAGTGCGGCGGTGATCACAGAGCGGCTGGTGGAGGCGCTGCTGTTCTGCCACGCACGCGGCGTGGTGCACCGCGACGTGAAGCTCGAGAACATCCTGCTCAAGCACCACGGCGACGACTCCGACATCCGCCTCACTGACTTCGGCATGGCGGCTGAGTTCCGCCAAGGTACTGCGGGGTGGCCGTGCACGCTGCATGCTGCATGCTGCAGTCTGCCCTGCACCCGACTTTGTTCCATCAGTCTTGTTTGTTTGCAGTAAATGTCGCACCTCATTCTGTTTCTCAGTATTCCCACGCTGTCTCTAGAGGGTATCGCACCCAGGCTGAGTTTCCTTCCATTCGCTCCCCACCAAGCATGCTTCATTCCACCATGCTGCACGGTTCCGGCTCATTGTCCACCAGAAAGGCCTCAGAGACGCATGGGATACTGGAGGGGGATGGCTACAGCGGTTCCTCATTCTTCCCGTGCCCCCCCCCTCCCCCCCAGGCGAGGTATTGACAGAGCTGATCGGCACGCCATACTACATGGCGCCCGAGGTGCTGGCGGGGGCGTACGGGCCGGACGCGGACATCTGGAGCGCGGGGGTGGTGCTCTACATCCTGCTGTGCGGGCTGCCGCCCTTCTACGCGGCGAGCAACGAGGGCATCTTTGAGGCGATCCGCAGCAAGGAGGTGCAGTTCCAGTCCGCCAAGTGGCAGGGCGTGAGCGGCGGGGCGAAGCTGCTGATTGCGAGCATGCTGGAGAAGGACCCGCATGAGCGGATCACTGGCGAGGAGGTTCTAGGTGAGTTGCTAGATGCCATGAGCATCCCTCTGTACGTCCACTCCACGGCTGAGGCACTGCCTCCCCCCCCCGGCATGCTTTGCTTACTTTCCCGCCTAATTGCATGTTTGCGTGTGGGTTTGTGTGCATTGCAGATCATCCATGGATAAAAGAAAATGTGCTTGAGAACTGACTTAGGTTAATCTAATCATCGTAAATAATGTGTTGCAAGGCTGATGATAATGTATTGTCTTAGAGGCATATATGCGTATCAGTTCGGTGTGGAATTTTACTCGGGGACTTCAAGTGATACATTTTAATGTCGCTTATACAGTATCCGATTGCGCCTCTAAAGGTGCCACTATGAAGCATCGTGGAATGCAGCGCGGAATTCAGGGCTGGGAAGAATCCAGGAAGCCCTCAGCCGTTCTAGAACCCCCCAGCGAGCACTCGAGCTGGTATGGCGGCTCCCCTCCGACCATCCTGTTCGCACCAGCTAGCCTGCCGTACTTATAACACGGAATGGCACCAGAGGTTATACATTCGAGCTTCCAAATCCTGAGCTTTCCCAAAGTCCTACAGCCTCTTCCCGTTTCGACACCGTTCGGTAGCTCTCGTGGCCAGCCCCTGAAATGGCGCCCACCAAGATCTACGGCTTGAACATGTCGACGTGCACTAAGAGGGTCCTCACCACCCTCGAGGAAAAGGCCGTCGCGGTACGACCTAGGAATTTGTCTCTTTCTTCCAGCTACGTGCATCACTTGCTCTTCCGATCATTTTTACCTTGAAATTCGTACGGTACTCGGACTGCACACGGCGTTTCCGTTTCAGGACTACGAATTAATTCCGGTGGACCTCGGCAAGGGCGAGCACAAGTCGGAGGAGTTCAAGAAGAAGCAGGTGGGACGAAGCACGACTCTACTGCATCGAATTAGGCAGCCTTCCAACCTTTTTTCCCGCTGCCTCCGTCTGAACCGTGAGCGTGCGTGGCCTGTTGTTTGCAGCCATTCGGTGTCATCCCCTATCTGGACGACGGGGATGTTCAAGTCTTTGGTGAGTTCTGTTTCATCTGGCAATTTGAGAGGATGTTCAAACCGTGGCTGGTGAAGACTCATCATGTGCCTCCCTTGCGTCGTTTTGCCAGAATCTCGAGCCATCGCGCGTTATATCTCTGACAAGCACGCTGGCCAGGGCACGGAGCTTCTCGGCTCCACGTTGAAGGTATGAACGGCGCACGAAGACATTGTTCATTCAACATTCGACTTTAAAGATAGCGTCTGTAAAATTGGTGTTACCTCACCGTGTCTATCAACCCATTTCTTGAATTCGCTGTCAAACCGCGTCTTTTCCTTTGATCCTCCAGGAGCGCGCGCTGGTGAACCAGTGGCTGGAGGTGGAGGCGCAGAACTACAACTCGCCCATCTCGCAGCTCATCGCGGAGAAGGTCTTCAAGCCCATGTTCGGCGGCGGCGAGCCAGACCAGGCCAAGGCGGCGGAGCACAAGGCTAGGGTAAGTGGGACCGAGCGTTCCAATCTCTCATTTCGTAACCCTGGAAGATTGCACGTCTAAACCACCGCATTTATCGCTCATCAAATTCTTCCGTTCTTATGTCCTTCAGCTGTCGACCGTGCTGGACGTGTACGAGGCGCATCTGGCTAACAACGAGTACTTGGCGGGGTCCGCTTTCTCGCTGGCGGATCTGTCTCACCTGCCCTACACGGCTATGCTGTGGGTGTCAGGCGACTCGGATCTCATTACCTCCCGACCCAATGTGAATAAGTGGTGGGAACGTATCACCTCTCGTCCTTCTTGGAAGAAAATTTCTGCCTTGCAGTAAGAAGGGGGCGGAACTGATGTAGGGAACAGGTGTCATCAGTATATCTGCTGTTACTAATCTTATGTATGCTTCATTACTAGATATGAGTGAAAGTATTTACTCGCAGAAGTTTTGATTCCACTACTACCCTAAAAAAAAATCACATACAATCTCAAAACTGTTTGTAGAGATTGCGATATGCAGAGTGTGTTTCTCAGACTAGACTAGTCGATTATAATGAGATTGTAAGACTGCACCTATCTAGCCTATAACATATACAAAATATATGTTGACACATCCCCTAGGCCAGACAAGGGCAACTACTAGCACGAAACACACATCTCAGGGTGGCACTACTATCAACATATATATTATATATATAAATATGCATAGGCTAGCTATGTATTCTGCAGATCTTGGATCCTACTGTAGAGGGGACTGTTGTGGTAAAACCGTACTTAAGCATTTATGTAAGTAGTTCCGATAGATATTGTCGATTAACACTGTAATTAGCATCCGTAGAATGACGCCAGCAAATAGCGCTCGTCTGGATGGTTACGTCAGCAAGCAGTATCAGTCACGCGATTTTCAGTAGCAGTTAGAGCGCATATCGCAAATAGGTCGAACAGGTACATCACCAAATAGGTACTTCTAGCAGATATAAAAGTAGCTTGTACAACTTCAATGATACTTGTTCTTCTGTAAATTCTAGTCAACACTTCACAAGTTCTAAGACTTCCGCTGTCAACCTAGTCTACCATTCTAGCAAAGATCCTTTGTTAAGTCTTGAAGTATCGCAAAGCTGTAACACTGGCTCTGGTGTTACAACTTGTTAATACTGGCTGTTACTGGAGGTACTTCCAGTATTACTTTCTACTTCAAGTACTTGTGTCTGCAGATTCTATACTTAGTCTCCTGCACCACCTTTCAAATTCTTTCAGGAACAACCCCCCTTTCTTGTACCCTCTCTTCCTAGTCGATACCTTTTCTCTCGTAACTCTTCCCCCTAGCTAAACCTCTCGACCTTCTCCTATGGCCCCTAGCTCTTAGCTATTTTAACATGGATTTAGAGTATGTTGTGTAAGATTAGCAGAATGACTAAAAACAAGTGAGAACAAGGGAGATATAGGGTTGGAGTTGTACCCTCTAAGAACACAAACCTATCTAGCATATAGCTTCTACATACAAATATATATATAAGTTGACACACACCCTAGGCTAGATAAGGGGCAGTGCTGAGCAAGAAACATGCAGCTCAGGAAGGCACTACTAGTCCAACCTCTGAGGCAGGGGTCCAAAGACCAGTCAGCAAGAGTACAAACAAGAAAAGAGCAAACCAGGGCGGCGCTACTAGTCCAGCCACTGGAAGCGAAGCCACAAGGCCAGTCAGAAAGGTATATATAAAGAAGAGTACACAATCAAGGTCTTAGCAAGTGAGTAGCTATAGGAACTAGAGCAAGCTGTAAACAGTGCCGCTGATTATCTTTAGGCGCAAGCGCCATAGTAAAAATATTAACATTGTTGGCACCAGAGGTCAAGTGTACTACGCGGGCCTGGTAACGCTGCTGTAGGTCGCGCAGGAGGAAGTACCGCAGCTGGAAGTGCTTTGCTCTGCCCTCAAGTCGAGGCTCCTGACACAGGAGGATCATGGCCCTGTTGTCAGCATGAAGAACCGGGGCAGAGCTAGGCCGCTCACCTAAGTCGGTGAGCAAGAAGGTCAACCAGCGGAGCTCCTATGCCGCCATGACACCAGTATAGATCTCAAACTCATAGCTAGGGTGGGCAACTGACGAGAAGCGAGTGGACCTCCACGAGATGGCACCCAAACCAAGGCTCAAGCAGTAGCCCTGGGAGAACCTGAGGGTTTCAGCGTCGTCTGCCCAAGAAGCGTCTGTGTGCCCAGTAAGAACAACTGGCCTGCGTCCTCCCAGCACTAGCCCCATACTTGATGTACTTGCTAGATAACGCAAAACCCTCTTAGCGGCCGGCTAGTGCTTTGGTCGGTGTCTGCCCATGGCCACAAAGCGAGCCGAGAGGGTATGCGAGATCTGGACGAGTGCATGTCATCAGGTACATGAGGCAACCCACCAGCTCTACGTAAGGACCACTGGGCTCTACTGACTCCTCAGGAACTGGAGCTGAGAGCCTGTGGTCTACTGGCAGATGTGTGGGCTGTGCGGAGGAGAACTGAAGTACGAATCGCTGAAGGACCTGTCGCACCAAGTATAACTATATGAGAGTGATGGTGTGCGCTGCTCTGTCCTTGGAGATCTGCAGGCCAAGGTAGCGACGCAGCTCTGCTAGGTCAGTGCAAGTGTGTCTCCTCAGCATCTCGGCTTTCACGGAGGCCAGTGCGTCTCTGTCTGTAGTAGCGAAGACCAGGTCATCTACGTACACAAGGATGTAGAACGGAGTCTGGCCAGCACGAACGAAGAGCGAGGGGTCTGCAGAGGACAGAACGAAATGCAGGTCAGCTAGCATAGCACGCAGCGTGTCGTGCCACTCATGGGCCGCCTGTCGCACGCCGTAGACCGGGCGCCGGAAGAGCCACTAGGTCCTAGGAGGGAAGGTACGGGTGAAGCCCTGTGGACGGCGCAGGTAGACCTGCTCGTGTAGGCTGCCCTGAAGAAAAGCCGTGGAGAATTCGAGGGAGTGGAGCTCGTTGTCACGCTGTACTGCTACGTGTAGCAGCACCCGAAGATTAGTCATCTTCGGGGTCGGGGCGAAGGTCTGAAAGAAGTCCACGCCCTCGCGCTGACTGAAGCCTCTAGCCACGTAGCGCGCCTTGAACGCAGGCGGCTCTCCAGGGGGGCGATTCATCTTGAGGAGCCACCGACCATCGACTACGTGCACCCCAGGTGAGGGAACTACGTCAATGTAGGTGCCGGTGGATCTCCAAGATGCCATCTCCTGCTCCATGGCAGCTATCCAGTGAGAGGCCCAGGGTCCCGAGGTCGCCTCAGCGTAATTGCGAGGGGTCGGTGTGAGTGTACGACCCCGTTCCATTCCTTTCTCCTTCCCATCTTCCCTTTCCATTTCATTCCTCTTTTTATCCTGATTCATTTGGTCTTTATCTCATTCCATTTGGATTCCTATTCCTTCTTTTCTATAAAACCTATGGTTTATCATGTTATTATCATTATATTACCGACCAGGCTCAGGATGTACTGGTACGCTATATCTAGCGTAATCCTGCCGTAATCCCTTAAAGCCAATAGCCTCGCGTGGCTATACGCATGGTGATTCTATCGTCTAGAAGGGTCTATTCTCTTGGGATAGGATAAACGTGGTTACCTGATGTACTTTGGAAGTATAAAAGCACCTTGTATCAATCGATAGTGCAACCTTTCCTCGACACATTCGATCCTGTAACACTTGATAATCAGAGCTTTTCTCCCTCGGCCGCGCTCAGCTAAGCAGCAGCAGCGGGAAACCTGCTTCAAAAAACCGCCGGGGGCGACCAATTCGACGCCGATTCTGGTAAGCACCAGCTCTGCGTTTTTTGAATTACCCCCTCCGCGCTTGTTTTGAACAGGATGGCGAACTTGGACAACGCCGAAGTTACCCAGCAGCTCTTCGCAAGCATCGCCGCCCTACAGGAGGAGATGCGAGTCGACCGCGAAGCTTGGCGACAAGAGTTCGAGCGAGTAACTCGACTCACCGGCGCGCAACACGAAACGACAGCGGCGACGATATAGCAGTCGCAACAATTTCTCGAGGCTCCAAAACCGCGCCCACCTGAGCCATTCGATCCGAGCGATCGAAATTCCGACGTCCGCAGATGGATCGCCGGCATGGAGATCTACTTCGTAGCCATCGGATGGAGCTCGCCAGTTTGGGACGGACAACGCGGACGACTCGCGGCGACACTGATGCGAGGGCCGGCACAGGAGTGGATCGGCGGTAACAGCACCTTCATCTACGGCGAAGCCACGTGGCAGCGGTTCCGCACCGACCTGCTGAAACGCTTCGAGCCGGTAAATTCAGGTTTCCTTGCCCGGGAAAAAAAACATCGCCATCGACAGTTCGGGAGTGTAGCACAGTACACGCAGCAGATGGAAGAATTTTATAACAGCATTCCCGACCTGACCGAAGGGGGAAAAGTACAGTCGTACCTCGCCGGGCTCAAGACCGAAGTCAAACGACAAGTGGCAGCGACAAACTACGCGAGCTACAGTGATGTCCTATCGGCCGCGGAACGCTTCGACATGGTCAATGCCAGGACACGACGGACGCACGTCGGCAGTACGTGACAGGGCGACCGCTCGGCTCACCCCACGTTTGCCGACCCGATGGAAGTCGACAGGTTCGAAGGGCGGCCACGTCCGAAAAACACCAACTCCACGTGTGATTTTTGCGGGGTGCCGGGTCATCGAATCTTCGACTGCAACAAAATGAAAGCCGCACGCACTGAGTATCGGGCATGCAACAGTGGCGGAAATCCTTCGGCCAATCAGAAGCAAAAAAATGGGGCCCGCTAGTGATTGCGGATCTAACTGGCGAAAAGAAAATATCCGAAAGCGACCGCAGACTTCCGGAAAAATCAACTTCGACGCAGCTGATTCGACGTGAACAGGAGAAAATGATGGGGAAAAATCTCCACCCCACGACCAGTCTTCGCCAGAGGAAATCGCCGAGGAAAAATCTAACTCCGCGAAAAAGGACTCTGCCAAGACGGGGAATCTCCTTGAAGACCCAAGAAATTATAAGGATTCGTTAAAGCTATCTTATAAAGATACTTTAATGAAAACTTGTAATTCTAGAGCCTTGGAGAAAATTCGGGAGGGACTCCAGAAGAAGAAAAAAAATTGTGGAGATCGTACCGGTACCGGAGAACCTGGGGACCAAATTAAGGAGTGTGGAAAGAAGCCGACCTTTCCACGGAGTCAACGCCCTCTCCCGACACCAGCCCACAGCGACTACCCGTTCCCCAGGGAAGACGTCGGTGGAGCTGAAGCAGCTCAAGAGGAAGCTGGGGGTCTACAAAAAGCTGCAAAAACCCCGAACTCCTTCTTCGGATGCATCTCATTCGGCAACTTCTTCAACGTCACGCATAGTTGTCACGGAAACTCTGGGCTCTGGAGAAGAGCCTTTCTCCAAGCAGCCTTGGCCAGCTGCCAGCTCAGGAGTAGGAAGCAACGA